TTACCTGGAACTGCGTGAACTCACCGACTGACACTAAGAAATCTCTGTAAACAGTATGTTTAAATATCTCAATTTAAAGGGTCCCTAAAACTTATTATTAGAAATCTCCGCAACTCAAATAGATTGAATAATCGACGTAATTCTTCAATTAAGATTGTACTATATTGTGAGCATCTTTAGTTTAAAATATATTCTAGTACAAAAAATATCAATATTATCTTATTATTTTGTTAAGCAGGAATACTATCAATCAACACAACAATTCCATTGTATATTTTCCATAATCTCCTCTTATTTCAATAATTTTAATCTCATGTTGGCCATCTATTTAAATGAATCATCATCATTATCAGTTATTTTTCAACTGAACTTTTAAAATTGGACTAATGTATTCGCAACCAATGATGCGAAAACTAAATAAACAAAAGAAGAAAAAACGACTACTATTTAATTAACCGCTTTCTTATCAAAGAGCTTATCTCTTTACTGTTTTATTGATATCATGAGTCACTATGAATAAAAGCAAAATAAAATATTTGTACACATATTATAATAAACAGTTTATAAGGTCACAGGTAAGTTACTAACTTTGATGCTGATTAAATTATACAAGGTATTATTTGTTTACTTACCAATCAAACAATTCCTTACTTGATTCATTTTTGTATTGTTTGTTTAAATCTTCCCATTGATGTTTAAGACTATAATTGATCAATCTCTTATTGGTATATGTGCATCCTGAGCGGATTGCCTCGGTATTGCCTTACTTGATTAAAGATAAAAATTTCAATAGTGAATACAAAGTATACAGGTAATTTATCTTGAAATATGTCAATCAATCATTTGTGTGATGAATATATTGTCTACTGTAGTATTTATTTATTCTGAATTAGTCACAAAATGTCAGAAATATAATTTTCTACTAATTGGATTAAGAAAACAAAATATATTTATTACTGTTTGAGTATGTGGTTTGTTTGAGTATATTTGAGACAATTGAGATAAACCTCAGGTGATTTTGCATAGATTTCTCATTGATAAACAAATATTAAACCAACTTAGAAATAATGAACATTTATATCTGCCTTAACTATTACTTACCTACTTACACCTGTTACTCTCAATGGAGCATAAGCCGCCCACCAGCATTCTCCAACCCACTCTGTCCTGGGCATTCCTTTCCAGTTCTATCCAATTTCTGTTCATTTTTTCATGTCTATTTCCATTTCCCGGCGTAATGTATTCTTTGGTCTCCCTCTTCTCCCTTGGCCTTGAGGATTTCAAGTGCGGGCTTATCTTATGACACAGTTCGGTGCTTTCCTCAGTGTGTGTCCTATCCACTTCCAGATCTTCTTCCTGATTTCTTCCTCAACTGGAATCTTGTTTGTTCTCTCCCACAGTAGGTTGTTGCTGATAGTGTCTGGTCAACGAATCCGAAGTATTTTGTGTAGACAGCTGTTAATAAACACCTGTATCTTCTGAATGATGGCTTTCGTAGTTCTCCAAGTTTCCGCCCAATGCAGTAGAACTGCCTTGGTATTTATATTGAAAATTCTGACCTTGATGTTAGTTGACAGTTGTTTTGAGTTCCAGATGTTCTTCAATTGTAGATATGCTGCTCTTGTTTTGCCGATCCGCGCCTTTACATCTGCATCAGATCCACCGTGTTCACCAATGATGCCACCGAAATATGTAAAGGTTTTTACATCTTCCAAATCTTCTCCGTCAAGTGTGATTCGATTGTTGCATGTTGTGTTGTATCGGGGAATCTTGCTTTTCCCTTTGTGTATGTTGAGTCCTACTGCTGCTGCTGCTTTACCTATACATTACATAAATATAATGGATGATTGAATTAAAAACAAAATTTGTTGAGTTTTACTGGAATTTTCAATTCAGTCAATGATCAATACTGTGGACACTACCTTCATAGAAATTAGTTAACTTTAACTGATAAATTACTAACGAGAATTCTACTGATTGATTTGGGAGTTTATGTTGATTAGTCGCTGTTTACAGTTAAACTCTTTCATCGACATTTCAGATACTAGCTATAATGATATCTGAAAAAGTCTTTGAATTCAAGCGGATAAAACTCTAAGCTACTAAGCAAACATTTACTGTCATTCCTGGTAAAATAATCTATTCATAGTGTTGTTATATTATTTGTCAAGGCGATGTATGGATATAAACAAAATGCATGAAAATACTTCATACACACACAAGACAAATATCCATCAGGCTATCGACAGTGGTTTAGAAAAAATCAAATCACTCATTTCTTGTACAACAATACAGATACAATCACTATCCGGTCATGGTTTAAGCCAAACAAATATGAAACTAATAATAACTGTACAGACTAGTGAGAATGATTAATACTTTTTGACTGGGAACGTAAATAAAAGTTGGAATAAAAGAGTAATCTGACATCACCAAACTTCCCACAGATATAATAGATGAATTGTTGGAAAAAAACTAGTTTATGAGCATATTTTGCCTAGCGACAAAGCTTCATAGCTAAGTGGGAGTTGTTTATCTACATACTACATTTTTGTTTAATGAATGTTTTATGATATCACAGTTATGTTCTAGACAGATGTGTATGATCAGAACATTCTTTAAATATACTTGAACGAATCGACTATTGTCAAAAACCAATTAATAGCTACGCTTAGGAACATAAATGACCAATAAACTATCATGAAGGTTAAAAATGATAAAAGTGTTAGCTGAAATCTGACTGATGGGAGGGCTTATTCTAAAAGATTGTCTCAGGAAGTAATTCATTATTTACAACGTGGTAGGAATGGTAATCATTTTTGTTTTTTGAACTGCTTATTGATGAGTAGAAGGATATCAAATGAATTTGAAACATTTATTAACAACGTTTTGTCAACACTGATTAGTCTAGACTGGTATCATGAATACATCAAATAAAAGGGCGATTATTTAATGTTTGGATTATTTCTGAATTATGAAAAATTTACTAACCCGTACTAGTCGAATGACTCATTAGAGAATAGAAATAAAAACTATACATCATGAATAATTCAGTCATTTTAAGGTATAATCTAAAAGCTAGGGAAATAATTTGACTTTCAGTAAATATTTGTATAAATAAACAGGGTTGTAGAAAAAAAAACGAGTTCCACTTTTAAGATGACACCTAATGTATATACTCAAGTAAGGTGAAGTTGTCTAGAATCAGAAGTCATAAGTAATATTTGCTCAGGGACAGTGATATCACACAATAAACTTAGAATATCTGAAACACAATTCGTTATCATTCCTTTAAAAGTTGAAAAATAGTTATTTAATTTTCTTCTTAATCAAAAAAGTATTAAATTCAATATGTCAGGAGGTTCTGGGGCGCAACAACTATCACCAAAACGAATGTATCTCTATCGAAACACTGGACGACATTCAACAAAGGAAAAACAAGAAGACAGCAATTAACAACAACTGAACAAGAACACATAAAGTCAAGGTACAAGCTGGATATACAGAAACAAACAAGAGATTGAAAAGAAGCATTAGAACCGACAAGCAGAAATACGTGGAAGACCTAGCAGAGAAGGCGCAAAAAGCCGCAAGAGGAAGAAATAAAAATCAACTATATGACACTACGGAGAAACTGGTTGAAGAATATAGAAAACCAGAGACCGGTCAATGACAAAGAAGGCAAGTTCATCACTGACATTCAAAAACCACAGAATGGATGGGTGGAACACTTTGAGGAAATTGTTGTAACGGATGGATCGCACGGTTAGATGCGCAGCGTATTTATCGATCGAATCAGTGACACGTAAAACACGTAAGGACGACCTAGAGTCCCGATTGGTCCCGCCTCCCTGTCTAGCCCAGCCAGTTGAGTCTAGAACGCAAGTCACAGCCTCTGAGTTATGAATCGTTATATTTCAAACATACTCTGTTTATATACGAACCAAACAGACCACATCGTACCATAAAAATAGAAAACAACATCTGTACAATATTTAACGAGTGAAATAAATAATGGCCAATAGGGAATGCCCATTTAGAGTCCAAGGACATCATTAGACTTAACATGATAATGATTGGTATATTCCTCAGCATCCCTAACAGAAACCTTGAACAGACCAGCTCCATTGAATCCACCGGATATCGAAGCAGCCCCTACAGACTTTCCTATCAATGTCACTCCACCAACGATCGAAGGAATCGGGAAGGCCATCAGACAGATCAAGAGTGGGAAATCAGTAGGACCTGAAAATATGCCAGCTGAAGCACTAAAGTCACAGTAAAAAATAACTGCAAATATGAACCATATCCTAGTTATGAAGAATTGGGAGGAAGAAAAATTGCCACCGACAGACTGGGAAGAAAGATATCTCATCAAGTGATCAAAGAAAAGAGATCTGAGCAGGTGTAAAAGATACAGAGACATAACACTACTGTCAGAACCAGGGAACGCTTGCAAAAGTGTTGCTGAACCGGATGAAAGATTCTGTAGACGACCAGCTACGAGACCAACAGGACGGATTTCATAAGGACCGGTTGTACACAGACCGAATCGCGACACTACGGATCATCGTTGAACAAACGGTTGAATGGAACTCGTCATTATACATCAACTCTCTTGACTATAAGAAAGTGTTTGACAGTGTGGATAGAACATTATGGAAACTTCTTAGACACTATGGTGTATGTGAAAACTTCGTCAGCATCATCTGAAATTCATATGAAGGCCTACACTGCAAATCCGTGTGAAGACCGGGGTCAGACAAGGCTGTTTATTCTCATTTTTTCGTCCTTTTAGTGGTTGGTTGGATTATGAATACCTTCATAAATGATGGGGAACACCGAATACGATGGACAGCTCGTAATCAACTAGACGATTTGGACTTCACAGATAACCTAGCTCTTCTATACCATACACGTCAACAAATTAAGATGAAGACAACTAATGTAGTAACATACAAGGGAAAAAACAAGATTCTCAAATACAACACAGAGCGTCAACACAATCACACTTGATGGGGAAATTCTGGAAGAGGTGGAAACTTTCACGTACCTGGGCAAGCTCATCGATAAACAAGGGGGATCTGATGGAGATTTGAATAAGCGGTCTATGTTACTTCATGAAAGGTAACAGGTAACAGTAATTAATTAATCTCTGGTGCGTCACTTTATACTTAAAAACTTGGATTTAGTAAATTATTGTTGGAATAAAAACTATTTAACTGAACAATAAAAAAACTCCAGTTGGATGTTTTGTTATTTCTGGTAAAATTATTTTCTGTATTTACAACAGTAATTCTGATTATAGGACAAATTATTGATTGGCGTGAACACAAATAATTTCGATATACATATCATACAAAAAATATTATCTGCGATGAAAAATTGCCTCAAATCTCACACAGTTTATCTCCACTGTTTACACCTTCTGACTAGAATTCCAAAAATTTCTTCTCAAAGTTAGCCACTAGTGAGTACATGATAGTTGTCAGTTAATGGCTGTGAAAGTTGTTGAATTTGATTACAAATGTTGTATAACACTCATATGATGCATATTTTTTGACAGTGAAAGCAATCATCTCATATTGTCATTTATTATGATCAATTTAAAATATGGATTAATTTGTCAAACTGACAATTAGTGAAGTAGATATTTTCCGGAATTATTATACTAGTGTTAGCTATAAGTTGGAAGAGGAGATGTGTATATTTGACGTCTACACACTTGATGATAACTGCATGATAAAAATGTTTTTTATAAAACTGTTAATTTTGTTATTATCACTGTTCATTGGAGAAATCGTGTGAGTTGTTTGTTGTAGTGATTGAAATTTACTTCAAGCATCAGTCAATATAATTCTCGTTACTTGTGTTCTCTATTCAGCTTCCCAGCTGAGATTGATTGATTCCATTCATCAGATCCACAATCCCATGCTTGTATTTCTTTCAACTGAATATGTCAAGTGACTCGCGATGCTGTCATTTAATAATGTTCAACTACTCAACCACGAGCGATGTTCAAATCTGTTAAATGATTTCCATAACTTGCTGTTATTCGTAAATAATCGATCGACCAGGTAATGAATATTTCGCTTCTCAGTCAAATAATCATTCGTTTGAGATAAAGTCAAATGGATTTGATAAAATAGTTCTTGAAGAATCGATTAATTTAAGCAGCTAATATTCTTACGTCGTTTGGATTCACTTTTACTGTATTATTACATGTATTAATATTCATACGGTACATATTCTGTATAGCCATTTAAAAGTACTAGAAGACTAGGAACTCGATTCACTTTACAACTGAATATGTCAGATAAATCTGCAGAATAGTCCACTGATATTTTCTTCTTCTTAATAATAATCCAATATGTCTGTATTTTAACAAGATTTGCTATAGATAAAATAGAGAATGTGTTCACAGCCACTTTGTTTTATAAAGTTTTATCCCCTGAAAAATGGTTTTTATTCTTAGTAGACACGCGCTGCTACGTTTTTGTTTAGGAAGTGTGAATTCACTTGGTTATTTGACTACGTTCACCACTGAATAGCAGAATATATTTAGACCAAGAAAATAAACAGATTCAATGTGGCGACCACTTAGACGCAATCCAATCAGTTGTTTGTAGTGTTCTTTCAGTATCTCGTTAAGCATTGTAGTTCAATTGACGTATAGAATAGAAATATATATTACAATCAGGTTTCTGAAAGAATAATTTGACCTCATTAGTGATACATCAACTTTAAAAAATAACATTGTGTAACGAAATCAAGTCAATGTAATGATGACTCGAAAATCATTACTATGGGGTTTGGTAAACACGACAACTTCCAGGAAATTCATATGTATCTAAAGTTCTATTCTCGTTCAAGCGAACATATACAATCTTAAATTAAATTTCCTAATTACAATTAAATAAATTCTCAATCAATAGTTGCCTGATTAACTAATGTCCATAAATTATGTCATAATGTAATAAACAAATGAACGATTGATTACATTAACAGGAAGCCATAGTTACAAATGTTATTAAAATTTTCGTTGTTTCTCAATTTGTTTTTTTAAACATTATTGAATATTCCATTTTATAATTTCTATCAACTTTTCTATGAAAATTAACAAAAATTTTTGTGAATCTGACTACAGAATAAATATTTAGTTATAGTGATGACGAAATTCTTATCATGGCGTAAACAATTATCACAGGTTGAAATCATGAGTCAATTGAAGCTAGACCACCATGGAAAACCTGGAAGCACTGGACGGTCATTTCGTCCTAGTATGGGACTCCTTAGCAATGCGCATCCACGGTCACGCACCCCGCGAAATTCGAACCCAGGAGCCGGGGTCGTGGATGCGCACTGCTGAGGAGTCCCATACTAGGACGAAATGGCCGTCCAGTGCTTCCAGGTTTTTCATGGTGGTCTAGCTTCAATTGACTCATGATTTCAATCTGTGAAATTTCTAAAATTTCCACAAACCCCTTCTGATAGTAAACAATTATCGTTTATTCAACTCGATCGCTTGACAGATAATGAATAATAAGTTCCACAGAGTAAAATGAATTCATTCTGTTACATAGTTGCAAACAGACTAAAATTAAGAGCAATATAATTATAAACAATTGTTTGATATACGTTAGTGATATATTAGATAGCTGATAGATAGTGGACAAATTAAAAATATTCTTATAGTATTCAAAACCAATTATTAGCGCCAATTTTACACTATTTTTGAGAGTTAACTGTTAAGAAACTTTTATAAACGAACTTATTTATGGAACAGAAGAGACTCAACTGACTTTCTTTGCCATGGTTATAACGATTGTGAGTGAATAATTATTATCTCTTACATGATCTAATTAATACTCTTGTAATTTGATTTTAGTTCAAATTATTCCAACCTATTGTGTAATCATTTATTATTTTTATTACGATTATACAATCCCTTAATTTTTTTATGACTATTAGTAATTATAACCTCATCCCCATTTCTAATTTGGATGACTACTCTTTCGACAAATAAATGAACATCAATCTCAGTAATGTTTAATTTCATATTTTATGTCCCATTCTTCGTATTACAACTGTCGGTTGCTTTTTTTTGGATAGCCATCTGAACGTCACTACCTGATCCACATCGACTGTTTTTATAATTAAATGAACCCTCATAACTGTATAGTGTTTGTAGCCAAGATACTTTACAATATATTTAAATTCACTTCATTCTACAAACCTTGTTATTGTCATTTAATCTGAAAAAAAACAGTGAGGAGTTTTGCTATGGAACTATTGATCTAAAAAAATGTATTGATTCATTTAATGTGATGGAAAGATTTGAAATTTGTCCATCTCCCTAGTTTCTTCTGTTAGAAGGGGATATAAGAATTATAATCATCTACTATCGATCCTTATTATTCGACTACAAATAGGAATCTACAATTATATAACTACAGAAGATCTCAGGAAAAATTACTTTAAACTATATGGTAATAAACATTAAACTGTAGGTTAACTGAAACAATTAAAGTTTTTCAATCAGTTATGATTGATGTATATACATCAAGGAGAAATACTCTTACACTGTTTTAATACATTTTTTGAACTCAGTATATGAGCTCGTTTTAGAACTTTTGAAAGAATAAAGATTAACTTGAGAAATGTAGTTCTGGGAAAATTATTTGTATCTTCTTCAAAATTGAATGCGTTGAGTAAGCACAACAAGTTAATGTCATGCTTAATTTATGCATAATACTGATTTTAACTAGGGCATAATCTTGCAAAGTAAATACTATAATACAACTCAAAAATATTTAGTTTCTTCTTAATGACCCATTTATTCTCTTTGTAAGTAGAACATCTAGAAAGGTTATTCTATTTTTTCTTCCTCGTATGTGAATTTTATAGACGAATGAACTTTATTAAATCGCTCCAGTGTTTCTATCAAGTCAGTAATGGTCGTTCCTAAGGATGAACGTATCGTCCATATATCGGTAGTAAAATGAAAACTTGTCAATCTGCTGTGCCAGTGGACCGTTTTTTAGTTTAGCGAGGCAAATGTTAGCCAATATGGGACCTAGGAGTGAACACATCGCAACACCATCTATTTGTCTATATAGGACACCGTTGAATTTGAAGTTTACGATCATAATACATTCCAGTAATAATTCATTGGTGATCTCCACAAGGAATGCAGCCTCTATTTCTGTTCACCAAGTTGTTTACAGATATATTCTAGTCTCCCTGAGTGTGGCATTTGTAAACAATGATGTTACGTTTGTCCTTTAGTCTTTATGTTTTTGATTTTGTTGACGAAGTGGAATACAATCTTAATACTATGCTTCACTAGGTGTTTGTGGAGTGGGTTTAAAACGGATACTAACCACTTTATTACAGTACGATAAGGGGAATTGTACAAGTCTGAAATTGGTCTCAATGGGATATCAGGTTTGTATACCTTCGGTAGTTCGTATAACCTAGGTAAATACGTAATTATCGGCTTAATTGTTTCGTATGTGTTTGGTCGAATTACTTATCGATCTCTATGCTTTTTTGAAGATCTGGTCAGCTCATTCTCTTTTTGGTCACTCAGTTTCTGGAATTTTAAGTGTCGATTCAAAATGTTATTCATCTTCTCAATATAGTCTTTCTTGTTAAGTAGGATAGTCCCTGTTCCTTTATCAGGCTTCGTAATAGTCAAATCTTCGTCATTACTAAGTTCACTGATAGTCTACTTGTGTTTTTTAGTTAAATTGTTTCTGTAAATATACCTACTGTTTTTAAACTAATAGCAACAATTATCCAGCTTCGATTTGAAATGTTCAAGTTCTTGATCAGAGGTTGGAAATAGATCTGATGTCTGATGATTTAGGTTTTCAAACTGAATGTCTGAATCTATATAATTTATATGGTTTCGTGTATCACAGAACTTAAGACCTAGTACCAATACTCCAAGTTTTTCTTGATTTATTTCAGTACTGGAAAAAATTATGAATATACTTTTTATGTTCAGTCTGAAATTTATTTTCAAATGGTCAATTTTCTAGGCTTTCAAGAAGTTATGTTGCTTGTTTGACATTTTATGGTTTACGTTACAAAGATAACTAAAGAAAAAAAAGTAAAAATAATTTCAACCAAAACAAAAATCTCCTAAAGAATCAAGCTATAAACATTGCAAAAAGTCCATTTTTAATTTGTTTTAAAAGAATGGAAATAAAATTAATTTGATTTAAAAAAATTAAGATTCATTCTGATAACTCATTTAATCTTGACATTATCACCACATGATTTTAGGCAAAATAAAAATACGCATATCTATGACGTCCGACACCTAATTATAAACTTACCAAATGATATAACTATTGACGATAATAGTTACTAAGAGATACCAACTAAAGTAGAGAAATTTCCCTTCCTCTCGTCAACAGATTATCCTATACCTAAGTAGAAATATATAAAAAACCGATTTCTCCTGTCTAGCTTCAAGAAAAGTGAGTAGGGTTCGGCTCAAGAGAAATTATTTGTTATGATCTCTTTTGGAAGGAACTAGATTTCAGAAATATAAGTCTTAGTAATTCAATAAGAATCAATTTACATAAATACATAAGGAATAGACCAGTTGACACTGAGTTCTCTGAGCCAGGTGGCCTAATAATAGTATTCACAATGACTGCTTTATTCAATACGGTAAATTTTGAAACATTGAGCAAACCTCAGAACCAGTTTGGCAGTAACATCACAAATACCTCTTTAACACACATTCAAGTTGTAGCTATTCAAAATGTGTTATAAATGTTTTTAGCAGTCAGCAAACCGACAGACGCTTACTCAATCACTAAGGTTTTCTACTAGTTCTATTGTAATAAGCACATTTCCGCCCTATATATATATATATAACGTACTTGAATTTCAACAAATTTCTCTGTCTCTTGTCCCCTGTCATAACTTGTCAATTGAATGCTACTTGAATATCTGGCCGTCGCTTATTGTTATGTCGGAAACGCTTATCACTTATACTCGAAACAAGGGACCTCCGAAATACTCCAGTACGGCAGAGGGTGGCGAGAGTCAGCTCTCCTCACAATTCCCTCACATCGCCACGCGTATACAGTCACTGCCAGGAGGGTCCAACTCCACGCCTCCTCGCGACGATAGTGTTGTTTGCGAAATCAATGGGATGAAAAGCGAATGTCCGGCGCTATAACCGAATTAATGAACAGGGAGGGTCCATCGAGGGAAGTTGGAAAACCCTGATTCCAAACCAATGGTGCACATGGGCTCCAGGAAACTGAGGAAACAAATGGCATCCGGACCATTTGTTGGTCACCAGCTACAATCGGACTGCATCATCTAACGTTGCTCCAATGCCTTGTGGATTAAACCTGTAGGTAAAAGGCTCAGGGGGTGGCCTACAAAAAACCACCTGCTTTGTTCTGGGCACCCGGGCAGTATTCCAGCCCCCATACAAGTCGAATGACGACGTGTGCCGCATATATATTTGGTGTTTCCGTGTACTAATGTTTATGTGTTTAAATAAATCTCAAAAAGTGGATAATCTGTCCTCGATACTAATTACTTTTTCACCTGTTCTAGAAATAAAATGAAATAACCATCTATCACTAACATGCAGATTTTAATGTTCAATCAACTACAGACACTTTGCCCAAATTTATTCATATCAGTAACCAAACTGAAACTATACATTTTGCTTTCATACGTGACTAAGTAATAAAAAAACAAATGCAAATAAATACAATGAATAGTAAAACTTAAATGATATGTATATCGTTTGCAGCAATTTCGCAAATGATATTCTTAACAATTCTTTTTATAAGTATTACCGCTTATGAGAAGACAATTAAAGAGAAAATCTACTCATCAAAAATATTAACCAAACACAAGGAATATTTTTATCTTATAACAACATAATTCATCGACTCGATTATTTCTAAATATCTTCATATTTATTTAATATTTTATGAAGTTAGCGTGCTTGGTTAGATGCTTGTTAAATTTATATAACGGCTTTTTGAACATACAATACACATATATATATAATGACGACCGACCTGTTGACAAATTTTCGTCCGTTTAGTATAAATCTACATTTTACTTCAGTAAAATTTAAAATCATTGAATTTGGATAATAATGACGTAAGTTTAATTCATTTAACAAGGTACAGCATTATATATTCGGTTTCGAGCCATGTTAGTGATACTCTATTTGGCTAAATCAAACAAAAGTAGATGACGCAAGAATTGGACCTGTCATCTTTAATTCATTTCTACAAATCACAATTTAAAATGAAAAAGCTATTCAGTGATCCTTTATTCACTATTCAATGATAACAATTCAATAAAATATCAATCATCAATAAATTTTTATTCCTCCTCAATAAAAGTTGATCAAATTTTCATGAACAATCTCTTTTATTTTATTTTTTATATAAGTTTAACATAAAGCATAAACATAAAGAACAAAATAATAATAAATTAATAACAGAAAATTCTAATTGAATCAAAAGAACAAGAAGAAGGTTTTCAACCATCAAACCAACACTCAAAACAGAAATAAACAAAATAATTGAATTTTCAAGAAAACAATTATTTGCATATATCATGTATTAATTACATCAAGTAAACAAACTGTCAGTTTAATTGTGATTAATTTCTTAATGAGAGAAATCATCATCATTCTATCACTTAACGACACAATACACATATATATATTCAGCTTTGTTTAAAATTACCAAATAAAAATAAGAAATCAACAAAGAACTTGATATGAAAGAAATCGAAAGTAAGTCATAAATCATGAGGAAGAGTATATATATATATATATATATATATATATATATATATATATAAATGGAGCCTATGAGAGAATGACTAAAAATCATAACCGTCAGTAATATGCATATACTAGGATGGATTATTCAGGAAATTAAAACAAACCTCACATACTCGAACTGGTTTAGAAAGTTCATATTTTACAATTGGTATTTCGAATGCTGAACATTGAGCACAAAGTAAACGTCCACAGTGGCGACTAGAAAAAAAAGAGAAATGTTAAGATCATTAATTAAAGGTGCAACAACAATGGTGAAATATAATACGATTTTTAGTAGTTTAATGATTTGATGAAACATCAATACTGATAACGTGAGGAAACAGGGATTAAAAATACCCAGATACACACAGAGTAGTGGTTTCTGGTGGTTAAACTGGTCAAGATTCCACATTTACTTCAGGTGAAGAAGCCGATGATTACCAATCAACGAGATCTCAAAATGTATGGATTAAAGTTGAATACAGATACTCGCACTTTGTAAACTAGTCCCATTTTTAACACAAAAGTTAATGCTATTGAATAATGAATTCAGTCAGTCAGTTATCATCAACATGTAGCCTGGTACATATGTGTATTGGGTCAAGTTACCATACAACATTGGCACAATGAGATGAAATTAACGAGACTAATGTCAACGACGTTGGAGCATTGGAACTACTAAAATTTGTTTAACCGTATCGAAATTCCGTTATTTAATCCTCATACGTGGATCTGGATTGGATCAGAAGACAGTGAAGAGCATAATAACGAGAAGTACCAATATTATTTGTTATTGTTATTAATATTTACAATTTATGAGCGACTTGAATTGCTGAAGGTAAGTGATTATGGCTCGTGATTGTTGATAATAAAAAGGATCCTGTGCAATTATTCATTCGTTTGTGGTCTTAGCGATTGCACAGATGGTCTTCTAACTTCCGAACGATGGCCGTTAGTCAGCATAACGATTGCGATAATGAATGTTAAAAGAGATTGAAATAAGGTTGTAGCAGTGATAATGACAAAGATTAATCATGGAAAGCTTGACTCAAAAAGATAGTTAAAGCGTATGTATGAGCGTGTACTACAATTTAAAACAGAGAAGAGTTTATCGAATGAATGCATATGTACTAATGTGAACGATTCTGGAGTACGTCACTCAAAGTCTCCAATCAGAGATCGCGAACGTCGCACAAAAAATGAAATATACGATTCACCAAGCTATGATCGGAAAACTATATTTTTTAATATTCATATACTGTCTGGATTTGCTATACATAAACAGTGGTTATCACCGCTTTCGATTTATTATGAAGTAAATATTGAACTAAGAACAGCATATTAATAAACAAGTATGTACATGAAATTCCATAGTTAAATGCACCAAAAAATGATTAAAGTAATCATCAAATGACTGGTCAAAAATCAAGATCAAAAAACAAATCACTAAATCTTTACTTCTGTCTATCATACCAATGAAGAAATTAGATAGACGAATAACAAAAAACAAATTTTAGATTACAATAAATTACATACCAGTGATGTTTTCTGTTAGTTATACCAAACTTCACGCAGCATTCAACACAAACAGAACCATCTTCCCATCGAGGTTCTTGAATAAGTGAATCTAATCATTTTCATTAAAAAGAAATCACTTTGATAGGCAAAACCAAATAGAAAAGTGTGGGCAACTAAATTTAATCAGTTTATTATAAAACAGAATATTTCTTTGTTAAAATATAGTATTGAGGTTAATTAGATAAATTTAAACAGATTTTGTCATCTAACAGATGTGTCTATTTCAGATTCAGAGCTTTCATTCTCAAGTTATATTTTTATTTTATTGAATCATCAGAGTCAAAAGTGTAGTGTATTGGAAAATGTTTAAAAAGAAGGATAATTATTAAAACATATGAATTTCAAGAAAAAAATGTACCTAGTAATTGTGAAAGAACATGTCCAGGAGTTGAACTTTTACATTTCTTTTTATTTAGACTAAACACAGTATCCCCTTCAGAATTCATAATTCCTAAAGATGCACCGGCTTGAAGTAATGCGGTACAAAGTGATATGTTTCCTGCTTGATATGCGAGAATTAATGCTGAAAGATGGAGAAAACAGAACCAAACAAAACAAGAAAAACTTATTAAGACCAACTGTAATTAATTTTTTTCTTAAAAAGACAAAGAATTAGTGACATGTAAGAAGAAATTAACATTTAGAAAATAAACAATATTTATGAATGTAAAACAAAATGAGTGACATCGTTTTTTTTTTCAAAAAATGTATCCTTGAAATAATTTGACAAATAGTTAAATCACAAGGTAATTTTTATTATGAGATTACTTGAGGGTTGCATTATATCAAGAACCAATTAGCGTTCCATAAGTAAATTGTTGCTGTGAAATTCACAGGTGCTCATTGTGACCCTTTTTATTTCTGAGATGAGGGTCATATGCGTATGAGGTTATGAATGAGCACTAATTTGAAGGGGCCAACTAAGATGAAGTAACATTCCAGTGTCTTTTGCTTTATTATTGTTCGTTAAATGGCGTCACACCGTGGTGAAAAAACGCTAGGTAACGGCTTTGCTTGTATACATTTACTCAAATATTCACCTGTTATGTTTGTATGCTTTTTGTTACGTCTCTAGCAGATTCACACTCTATATTGTCAATGACTGACTGACTGCTTGCTAAAATAATATAGAAGATACTTTTATATTTTGACGGAGTCGAACTCCATTGGTTAACAATTTACTTGCAAATTAGAAGAGAACTACTAGAACGAACAAAGAACATAAAAATAACATGCAAATTTTCAATTAACTTCCCAACTGTACGTTACAATAATAATTTAGAGTGAAATTCAAAATTTAACTATAACTAAAAAAGTCCGTACATATTTTTCTATGTCGTTTTAATCGATAGATTGTTGAACAGCGGAGTTCGTGTATAAAAGAACTGTATGTGTTCAGTAAATCAGAAACTTATAGCAAAATCAAAACTAGGTGGCTTGAATTAAGATTATGATGAAAATCATTGGTTTCCCATAGAAAATTCAAGTGTGATCTCAAAAAACGTGGCAGCCATTTGAAGTATGCTAAACCTGACAAGTTGTAAAACGAACTAACTGATAACTGTAATTCTTAAAATAACTAGATTGATTGAGTTTTGGCTAGTCCCTTGGGTTGATCGAATTATAACGAACAAGTTTTACTTTGACCACAAATCTAAGCGACTAGTCATTGTGAACTATGTTCCGCTGTCAGCTACTTGAAGGTAACCACCCAAACTAAAATTCGGAAATAATTTACACCATGAGGAGTAAGTCGAACTGCTGGTCACTTTACAGCATGATCAATAGAACTTGATAGGAAACATGCACATAGGCTACTGCTCAATGATCAATACGGATAAATATATTAAGACGAAGATTATCGTCTTCTTATTACATTATCGAAATTGAACAAAGGGACTAATTGTTTTATAAATATATTAGTCATATCGGGAGTCGATAATGGGTTGAATGACTTAATTTTAACATCGCCAGCTGTAACATTGGGTGATGATTCAAATCACAGTGAGGCTTGAGACTGCAGATCTATTATGCAAATAGGTGACAACTACCTAGGTTCAGAACCTTCTATCGATTGAAGAAGATTCATAAGAAACAGCTTAATTTAAATTATTATATAACTAGTCGCATAATAATTAAATATTTATTGACAAAAAAGAATTTGTATTGTTATATAATTTAGACGCTCTAGTTTATCTTTCGTACTCGTAAGTCATACACTTTACCTGAATATTGTTCATTAAGGTTTTTTCTAATGCCTAAAATTATAACAGTTACTTATGCAGCGTAGAACGCGCCACATATTGGCGTCGATTCAAGTTGTTATACGTCATTCAAAATCACTAACCATTAATTATGATAATCCTACGAACTCCAACACGATAGTCCGCACGTGCCTACATGGCTTAGTTCAACTGTTAGTTAGTTCATAGACTGGTGGCACAGTTCAGCTTTGCCTTCTCCAGTTTTCTTCTAGCCTACTTCTCCCACATAAGCAAATATCCCCGGTCGAGGTAGGAGGTAACTCAATCACTTCAATTGAGGAAGTAGTTGAGATAATTAGAGCAAAACATCCTTCCTGATTCTTAATACATCTTGTAAAGTTATACCACAAACAGGTGAAATCAACAATTGCATTATTCACTAATGGTTTCCGATAAGAGAAAACGAATAAGAAGTAATTGAATAAACATGTCAACTTAAATATTGAATAATAAATGAATTATCAAAAAAAAACTTTATTACATTAACCTAGATTATTGAATACATGTGGGATAAACAAATATTGTTGGACAAACACAAAAAAATTAGTATGCTAATATGAATAGTAAGAGATTAGAAGAAAATTGGTATGGGAAGAAAACCAGTAAGTATGCAAACAAACAATTGCATTATTGAACAATGCAGATTTGTATGCATTTGCGTGTATATGACAAAATGTTACGGTATAAAAATCAATATTACATAAAATAACCATAGTTTTTATGCACTGACATTTTCTCATATGATCAACGTATAAACTACGGTTTATAAAATTAAGCAAGAAAATGGAGAAAAAGCCATGAACGGTGGAACTGAATCGTGTCGAGTGTGAGGCAGTTACCGATTGAAAACAGTGGAAAATGATCGTGCAAAATCGTGGATTGGTTGAAGTTACACACTGACAGTACTGGAGAGTGATTCAGTGATCTAAAAGTTAAGCGTTCGCGCGTGTGACAAAAGTTCCAGAATTCGATTCCCACGCCCCGAGTTAAATTAGGTTTCTAGGTTTTCAATGATGGTCTAACTTGATTTCAATGAAATTAAACGTTTTATGTTACAGACTTATTAGATTAGATCGACTGACTACGATGGTGTGATTTTATTGAATAAAGTAATATTTTTATTGGATTTTATTCAGTTTTGAAAGTTTCCTCTGCAGTTCCAGTGTGACAATTATGAACGAATTGCTAGCCAGATATCAAGATAATATTAAACGAAAATACAAACCATGACAATACCATATCGCAAAAACTACTGACGTAAATTACTCACGAGTATTGCCAGCAGCATCTTGGGCATTGATTTGATTGGCAACAGATACCTCTAATAAATACTCAAGCATTTCAACACTGACTGGACCTTGATGTTGAGCCAGCAAGTGGATCGGCAATTGACCTCTAAATAAATTTGGGATTCATAAGTGTTTATCAGTATAGGGTTGTGGAGATTGTTGAGTTTTGATTGAGATCATGAATCGATTAATGTTGGACCACAACTGAAAACCTGGAAGCAATAGTGTAGATTGATTGAAGTTAGACATTAACACCGTTGGATGCCTACTTAGTGGTCTACAAGTTAAGAGATCACACACGAGGCCTAAATTTATGGGTTTGAATCTCGCATGCGGGATCGTGGACGCGCACTTCTGAGGAGCACCATACTAGGAAGAAACGGCCATCCAGTGCTTCGAGGTTTTCAATAGTGGTCTAATATTGATCGATTCATAAATATTTGCAATCCACATGAAGATCAATTAAATGTAAGCATCAAATGGATGATTTAACAGTGTTAACTTTATTCTAAAGACTATGATGAATAAATCGACACGAGATGCGACTTCATTATATGAGAGTTCACAAACAAAAACTTCTCATCGTTCAAAGAATTTTACTAGATAGTATTTGGCTACTCATTAGTAGTCAGCTTACATATGATAAAAGAGTTGGATATAAAAAGTGAGGGAGTTCAATTCCATGTTAGATTGTATATTGAAAGGGATTAGGATGGAACTAAAGTACAAAAACCTGGCACTGATGTTTCAAAAAAATTTGATTGTGATGAAGAAGTACAATTAGTGAAAACCGAGATTCAGGGTTAGAAATAATTTTGGAAATTAGGGTTAGATTCAGTGTTAGCCATTATTATTACATCTCAAAAACAAACATAAATCCCAACAAATTTCAAATTGGACAAATCGTACTACTTATTCTTCTAGTGTGCCACGTTGGCATCGACGATTATTTTATTGCTTCCGATGAACTAGATGGCGGTATTTTGGCTATAAAGTCTAACAATATTCAGTGAATTTATATAAAGTTTAGACTCAGATACAAATATTCGCTCCTATCAGACCAATATAGATTTACAAGCTGAAAAAGCAAGCTCGCAAGAAGACTTACTTGCCAACCAATACTAAAAACGTTTATAGTTGCTACGTGTTCACAAGTAATTAAATTCGTACTCATGAAGGTGGAGACCTTGGATGAGGTGAGCGGTTAAGTTGATGAGCAAAGAACGGATACACTTGTACACAAACTATCGCACACATTTGTAAGACAATGGGGTCTGTGAGATCCTAATTAGTACATATACTGTAACATATGACACTTAATACTAACTTATAAGAGGCCCTAGAGGTGATTTAAATAAACGTTAAATGAGTCACTTGAAAGTGATTGACACAATTTTTCTCTATTTGAACAGAATTATGGTAAAATCAAAAGTTATACACTAGTATACATCATATAATGTTATTAGTTCACGTTATGAAAATTAAAGTGTTTAAGTATTCATTGTCATTTACCATCGTGATACTTCATAAGAACTACTGTTGAATAAATAAAGTGAAAACCCTTTTCACAATTCATATACGAATGTTAAATCGGTGAGATAAAAACATACAATCGAGATTATTTTTAAAGAATTACGATCAAATTGTAATATGTACACAAGATTATTATTATTATTATTATTATTATTATTATTATTATTATGATAGAAACTAACCTGATATTTATACAGTAACAATTTGTAGCGGAATGATTGAGCATTTTTACAAGACAATCTACTCTAGCATGTCGAACAGCTAGATGTAATGCTTACACAGAAATAAAAGATGTTTGTTATCATGAAATAACTGAGTAATTGGAACATAATAATAATAAGTAGAATTTTATTTTTATTTATTTGAACACACAAATATTGGTACAAAGGGGCACCGAATACATATGCGCCACACAAGTCACTTGATTTCTTTGTGGGCTGTAATACTGCCCGGGTGCCCGGACCGAAGCAGGTAATAATAAGTAAAAAAAATTTCATGTCACATGTTATAAATAATATTTAGTGTACGAAGTTGGCTTAGATCCGAATTAATAAGGTATAAATCTGTATCGAAAATTTAACGGTTAAGAGTTTTGCGCTTAAAATGACTAAACTCAGCACTTTGTAAACGTTATAGGTAAACTAATGGAGATCAAGCAAATTATTGATGACACTCACTCGAATATTAATGTATTAAATAAGTCATTTGTCTTTAAAGGATTTAATGTCACGCTTTCCATTTGTTCTAACTAGGGGTGGATCTATATATCAAGATTTCCGACAAATGATGTCTCGAAAGGTTGTTATTAAATTCATTACAGTTTAGCATGTTTCTACAAACCCCTATTTTCGTTAAAACGAATGTAAAACTACTTCTGTTTACACTTTTACATCTATTAATTTGGACATAGTGATTAATTAAAAGTAACTTAGAAGTGTATAAGTAGTCATTTTGGATATTATAATTATTTTTTATCGCAATACAATGCCAAGTTTAGAAAGAGTTTCTAAATAAGTTACATGCACTTTCTTAAACTAAACTTCATTTGAAAGGTGGTAATGTTATCTGATGACTGCCTACTTGATGTCAGTTTTGTGACTGAACTAAGTGCAAAGCCACCTACCTTCGTCATCGTAATATTTCATCATTTTTCAAACCTCCGTAACTGATGTCAATGCTATTTATTTTGAGTGATTTTTTAAAAGAGATTTATTGAAAAATGATTTTTCATTCGTTCGGCTTTGATCGGAAAGGTTGGTGAAATTACAAAATCCGTAAGTTGTTATATCCAATTAGCAAGACGACGTGAAATTAACAAGATGCTTAGCAAAAGAGATCGGAATAATAAAGCAGTATATATACTTACGTGTATTACGTTCAGAATCTTGAGAATTGGGGTCAGCTCCATTCTCTAATAAACAATGTACTAATTCCGGTCTATTGTAAATCACAGCCAAATGAAGACCGTACTGTTTTTGTGGTGTTTGTGAGTTAATAGATGCACCGGCAAGAAGCTATTGATAATGAAAATAAGAAATAAGATTTCTAAATGAAAATGTAATAATCTTTATAATATCAAGGAAAAAAAGGATTGTAATCTAAATGTTATGTAGACATGAGAAAGCAGATAACATTGTAAAGTATATGAGAACATACGAAATTTCACGGGACAACAAACTCATATACATTTCAACAATTAGATAAGTAAAAGAAAACGTTCTACTCAAAGTAAACATTTCATGGTATCGCTCAATTCTACAGTCTGAAAAAGGATGACTAATTAATACAAATCCTAGGTTGACTAGTAAGTTTATATCAAAGAATTAATCTAAACAAGACGAGAACAGCAATCGTAATATGAATCATACCTCTCAGTTGCTTGCCAGTTCAACAAAGCTCATAAAAATGTTATGAGAAACTTATCCATTTTCAAAGGGGATGCGACTTCAAGTAGGATTTATAAAAAGGATTAAAGCGGCGTTAAGAAGGTATATCACTGCAGACTAACTGTTCCAAGTACATCATACCAAATATTCCTTACACCTACCAAAGCTTTATCAATATCCTTCTAAAGGTCAGCCCCAAATAGACTAATGAATTGACATATAGCAAGTGTTGTTGATTGTTGTATGACAGATACCACATAAGTTTAATAGAGCCAAAGAGCAAATTTACGTGTTAAACTAAGAATCGAATTATTTGACTCATTTATTTTCAATTAGCAGCCAAAATAACACATTTCTTTACGAACTAATGTGATCATAAAATCAAATACGGCAAATAGGTTTTGGAAACATAATGTAAAGTAGTCGCACAGCTAATCTAAGGAATTATAGAAATATTATAACTCATTACTAAGGTATCATGTGGTATTCACTAAACAACTGATATTACAAATAAAACAATCTTCATATCTTACCAAACTACGTAAAATATCCTCATCTACGCCTGTTTTAATTGCTAAATGGAAGGGCGTGAGACGATGTGCATCACGTACACAAGCATTCATATCAACTCCAATTTGAATAAGAAGAAAAATAGCTTCACGATCGAAATTTTCTATTGCAATATGTAGAAAATTACGTCCTGAACTATCAACCTATTCATAATGCAAAATGTTACAATTAGAAATTAAACGATAATGTTTATGTTGGAATGTTAACTCAATGCTAGGGAAAATGAATAAAACAAACAGTTTATAAGAAAGAGGTTCAAAAAGACGTTTACTTTCCAAGTTGAATATGTGATATAAATACACCTGAACTATTATTATTATTATTATTATTATTATTATTATTATTATTATTATTATTATTATTATTATTATGACTTATTAGGCGTGAAGATTTCTTTTCCGTTTCCTCCGTTTCAGGTCCCTAAATTACGAATTCATAGACAAAATCTTGGAAAGTGAGGAAAATATGTACAAATTAGTTAGTATGTTGTAATACGTGTTATCAGTCACACAACGGAAGCTACTCAAATCTTTAAGTAAATGAAATAAGGGAAGATTTTAAATAATTAACTGATAGAAAAAAAATTTATAGACTACTAAACTACCATTTTCATATTATATAAAAAATTTCCGTTATGAATTGATAAGCTGACTTTTTTTATTTCCTGTAGTTACGAACACAAATATGTTGTATTTTTACTTGCACAGTCCCTGAACAATAACAGTCATCAGTAAAAGGGGGTTTATGAAGATTGTTAGAATATTTTCTTTACGTCACGAATTGATCTTAGACAACCATTGAGAATCAGGAAGCACTGAACAGCTGTTTCTTCCAAGCATGAGACTCCTAAATAGTGGGCATCCACTACCTTAATATGACTTGAATATACGGACTTCATTTTTCATGACGAGAGCTTAACTATGAGATGTCTCACTAGCCATCAAACGTTTATATATTTAGCTTTAATCCATTTGCCACATTGCACAACCATTCTCCATTGCCATCCATGAGTAGTTTGCTTCTCACACCATAGTTGAACTCCACTGGCCACGAAGACGGTTGGGTAATATTCAGAATTGATCTAAATTAGATATGTAAACCGCTGAACAGAGGCTCAGTGGTCTAAAGGCTAAGCGCTCTCTGAAAAACAAAAAGGTCGAAGATTCGACCTTCATTAAGGTGGTAGATCCCCAATGGTTAGAAGACCCATACTAAGAGGAAACAATTGTCTAGTGTTTCCTAGTTTCAAATGGTTGTCTAACTAAGGTTAGTCCGTAATATAAACTATAAAATAACAAAATCAACCGAACTAATGGTATGGCACTGAAAAATGAATCAAAAGCTAACCAATCTACATAACATTTAAAAAAACTTTCATTCTTAATCAGTAACTAACTTGTAAAGCTAAAGAAGGGTCTTTTTTCAAAAGACTTTGTGCAATTGCACGTTGACGTAAATCCACAGCTACATGAAATACGGTGTATGCTTGTGCATCACGAACGGTATAGTCTATTTGAGGTGCTTCAATTAACAGGTTGGCAAGTTTTTCATTTTTTGATCTGATTGCTAAATGTAAGGCAGTTTCACCATTATAATCCTAGATGAAGTAAGACAACATGAAAATATTGATCGCATCGTGTCTATATATATGGGATAAAGACATGATACTCATGTAATTTATTCCAAACATGATCATTATAATCCTCCTAAAGTTTTTTCATGATAACACCAAAACTTACTGTTTTCTACAGTACTATTAATGGATACAACAAATATTTAGACTAACGGACAGTTTAGCCAAACGCTTCACAAAAAATACAGGTTTAGGTTCAAAGATAATGGATAGTATGTGTGTGTGTAGGTGAAATCCGATAATCTGTAAAAAAACTCGGTTGGATTCAAGGTGGATGAGCAGAGGGGTGACCTAAAACTATATTTAACTAAAATATGACATCTATTATAGAAGTTGCCAATAAAAGGATGGTTAAATATGTATGCAGTAAAAGACAATGAATAAAATTTTCATATTCCACAAATTGTAAGATTTCATTTGACTCATAAACTGTTGGTATATTTTATGATGCTCAAAACTTATACATGAAATTCGTCATATAAGTTTAGTATGAGGATTTTGTACCGAAAATGACATTTTTCGACTTTCATCGGATCTGTTAATTATGGTTTGTTGTGGACCATGATACCTTTGGTCAATCAGATGTAAGCCAAATGATGAGCCTAACCAATTCTCTACGAATCTATGAGATACTAGTATTAAAACAAAATACAACTTTCCTGCAGCGTGTAAGAATTTTGAAATACATTTTATAGATCGCGCCTAGTCGCTAATTGAAACGTATGTATAGATGATCCCAGGACCATAGATCAAAACGTTTAGCTGGCAAAATACCAAACAAAAATTTACTACGCTACAAAATACAATGAGAAAAATGTGAAAAATCTAAATCCTTTATCACATATACAAGAGATTGTGTAGATAATGAATGATTGAGTAATCGAGAAGAAATGCTGAATCTGAGCTTTAACCTTTTGATTAGTGAGTAGTTCAAAGGCCATGACACCCCACTCCAAGAATCAACTTTTTATCAGTATTAAGGTATCACATCTAATTAAAACTACAGTGTGACATTCAAAAAGTCTGTAAAGCTTACTCTTTGTTGATAACTTTTGAAAGTATTCCAGTTGATTAGTTACTGTTACTTTCAAAATTAACATTTCATGTGAAGTTGTACATACCATTCACAACTTCATTGGGTATCTCTATCTATAAACAATTAATTCACTTTTTCCAAAAATATTCATACAATTTTTTATTGATGCAATAAAGACACTTACCTGTTGGTTAATATATACACGATTACTGGAGATAAGTACTTGAACGAGTTCATACATTCCAATTAAAGTGGCCATATGCAGTGGTGATCGAGCTAATTCTGGTATAATATGATCTGATTTTTTCTTATCTACTGAATAATCAAACTGTGCAAACGCATTGACATCACAGTTTCTAATTGAATAATTGTTTGACAATAACAGTTGAGAAAGAAAAACTAATGAAAATAGATCCTAATAAAGTGTGTGTATGTACAAAAATATTTTATACAACGGTTTGAAAATTCTGGACTCCGATTGACCGAACTTTCAGATCCACGCAGTTTTCATCTGCTAGAGAATAGTATTCACAATCCCACAAATAATAATCCAACATTATACAGCAAACACACATGAGCAACAAAATAGCGATTAGTTTCCCATTCGGATTCTTTCATTGACAGTGTTCTTTAGCACTATAGGAAAAAGTAGTCAGAAACGCATTTTCTGTGACCATAATCACGTTCGAAACTAATTCACTATTTGCACTTGCTTTATTATTTTAGGCTCACGATTAGGGAAAGAGATAGTTAACCCACAAATTACTGATTTTTTACGTTTAAAAATGATAATTGACTCCATTTTTGAAACTAGTAATCTTATTAGACGGGAGGTGACAGTGATCCATAATGGGAAGGGAGACAAATATTTAATTGATGGCTGGGTCAAGATGAATAGTAAGGTAAAACCACTATGGTATCAATGTTTTCTGACATGATTGGTGGTCCATTCATGAATTAATGAACACTATTTAATTTAGTGTGGTATACACATATCCTTACAAATATTTATACTTTTATTTGTACTAGATATGATATACAGAATTTGTTTAAAAATAAGATACTTCAGTGATAATCAATAAGACATTTAGTATAAGAAGGAAAATAGTTCTTTACAACACAGTGTTTTGTGGTTTCAGAAACTATGTTAGTTAGTAATAATCGACATAGGGCCTGGTACAAATGTATGCCAGCACATGACGTTATAGAACATCGCCAAGGGGAAAACGAAATCGAAAAGATGTATACCAAAAGCATTGCGGAAATCGATTGTGATGAGAAAAAGGAAATATTAGATAAAACTGTATTAAAAACAGCGGATACAGTCAAGCAATATGAAATAATATTTAAACTATAGACTTAGGAGACACAAAGTGAATGGATCCGCGCCACTGAAACCAACTCTGAGTTAAATTAACAAACACTAACATACTGATTCATCTAACCGACTTTTGAGTAGCCGAAAACAAATACTTAAGCAAAGATGGTTGAATTAAAAGAAAGTTCATTCTATTTAGCATATCATTGTCAAGCACAGAGGTGCTAACCTATGAGTAAGGGTTTCAACTGACTGTGAAGTTCCCTACACCTTAACGTTAGGCAACCCTAAAATGTGAATACACTGAAGAAGTATTATCAAAACCTAAGTACAATGGTAGCAAATATTAGGTAAGAAGAGAAAATCATTCAGTAACACGAAAATAGGTATACCACCACTAACCGTTTCACTAGAAACACACCAGCCTCTTCATTGTTCTCATGGATTGCCCGATGTAGTAGAGTGACTTTTGCATTTGTTCCATTAAACGGTGCCCATGAATTAACATCAGCTCCATGATTCACCTAGTGATCAAAAATTCATACTTTAAAATTAATGAAAGTGACAAGATGAGTAAATTACCCAAACTACTGATTACTTTCAAAAATATAGATATACTTAAAAATGTGGTGAATTATTGAAATTTTCGAATGAACGCAATTTCGTAGTTTATTTTTTCATTTAGAATATGTATTCTGATCAACTGAACATGTTACTTTTTACATTTCTTTGACGTTATACATGTCAAACACAATAGATATTGTTTTTTATGTAGTATAACAAATTTTGATCCGGGTATTTTATGCAACAGACTTTATTAAATCACTTTAAGCATGACTTCATAAATGGATATATAATTTCACTCAATCTAACTTTCAATTATTTTTTTAAGTAATTCGATCTTCCTTTGGTTAATAATTACTTACTACTTACTTACGCCTGTTACTCCTCGTGAAGAAGCATAGGCCGCTCACCAGCATTCTCCATCCAACCCTGTCCTGAGCAATCCTTTCCAGCTCCTTCCAGTTGTTATTAATCGTTTTCATATCTGCTTCTATTATCCCACGTAATGTGTTCTTTGGCCTTCCTCTATTCTGCTTCCCTTCAGGATTCCAAGTTAGGGCTTGCCTCGTGATGCAGTTTGATGATTTGCGCAATGTATGTCCATCCTTTTCCATTGTCTTTTCTTAATTTCTTCGGCTGGAAGCTGGTTTGTTCTCGCCCACAAAACGCTGTTGCTGATGGTATCCGGCCAATGGATGTTGAGTATCTTACGTAGACAGCTATTTATAAATACTTGTACTTTCTTGATTGTGGTTGTTGTAGTTCTCCAAGTTTCAGCTCCGTACAGTAGAACTGCCTTGACATTCGTATTGAAGATTCTCACTTTGATATTGGTTGAAAGTTGTTTTGAGTTGCATATGTTCTTCAACTGTAGGAATGCGACCCTTGCTTTGCCGATCCTTGCCTTTACGTCTGCATCTGAACCACCTTGTTCATCGATGATGCTTCCCAGGTATGTGAAGGATTCTACATCTTCAAGAGTTTCGCCATCAAGAGTGATTGGATTGCTGTTCTCCGCTTTGAATTTGAGGACCTTGGTTTTCCCTTTATGTATGCTGAGGTCTACTGATGCAGAGACTGCTGCTACACTGGCTGTCTTTATCTGCATCTGTTCGTGCGTATGAGATAGGAGGGCTAGGTCATCTGCGAAGTCCAAATCGTCTAATTGATTCTGAGCTGTCCATTGTATTCCGTGTTTTCCTTCAGATGTCGAGGTCCTCATAATCCAAACGACCACCAGAAGAAAGAGGAAGGGAGAGAGTAAACAGCCTTATCTGACTCCGGTCCTTACTTCGAGTGCATCTGTCAGCTGTCCTCCATACACGACTTTGCATTGTAGTCCGTCGTATGAGTTCCGGATAATATTGACAATCTTCTCAGGAACTCCGTAGCGTCGAAGAAGTTTCCCTAACGTCCTCCTGTCTACACTGTCAAATGTCTTTTCATAATCAATGAAGTTGATGTATAGTGACGAGTTCCGCTCAACTGATTGTCCGACGATGATCCGTAGTGTTGCAATTCGGTCTGGGCACGATCGATCCTTACGGAATCCAGCTTGTTGATCTCGAAGTTGGGCGTCTACTGCATTTTTCATCCGGTTCAGCAACACTCTGTTAAAGACCTTCCCAGGTATTGACAGTAGTGTAATGCCTCTGTAGTTTTCACATTTGCTCAGATCTCCTTTCTTTGGAATCTTGACGAGGTGTCCTTCTTTCCAGTCCATCGGGACTTGTTCCTCCTCCCAAATCTTTTGAAATAGAAGATAAAGCATGCTTGTGGTTGCTTCAATGTCTGATTTCAGTGCTTCAGCTGGTATGTTGTCGGGTCCCGCTGCTTTCCCGTTCTTGATTTGTCTGACGGCCATTCTGATTTCTTCCTTCGTTGGTGAGTTGACGTCTATGGGAAGATCTGTGTGTGCTGCTTCGATGTCCGGTGGATTCATTGGAGCCGGCCTATTCAGGAGTTCCTCGAAGTACTCTACCCATCTGTTCCGCTGTTCTTGAATTTCAGTGATTGGCTTGCCTTCTTTGTCTTTGACCGGTCTCTCTGGTTTATTTTATTTCCCTGATAGTTTCTTCGTTGTATCGTAAAGCTGTTTCATATTTCCTTCTCTATCAGCTTTTTCCGCCGTCTTTGCTAGTTCTTCCACGTATTTCTTCTTGTCGGCTATAATGCTCCTCTTCACTTGCTTGTTTGCTTCTGTGTATTCAGCTTGTGCTTGAACTTCCTCTGCTCGTGTTCGGTTGTTGTTAATTGCTGCCTTCTTGTTCTTCTTTTCTTTCATCTTGCCTAGAGTTTCTATAGAGATCCACTCCTTATGATGGTATTTCTTTAGGCTCAGAACCTCTTGACATGTTGAAGTTAATGCTTCTTTGATGCCTTTCCAGTTGTCCTCCATAGTAGTTTCTTCTTCCTTCAGTAGATCTTGTAAGGCTTGGAACCTGTTATTGAGAGCTATCTTGAATTCATTGAGTCTGTCGGTATCTCGAAGGAAGGCCGTATTGAACCTTTGTAGCTCTTCTAGAGTTACTGCCGGTCCCAAGCCCGGGTAAAGGAGGAGGGTTGGGTATGGGGTTAGCGTCCCCATCCCGTAGAAAACTAACTCGCTAAAAACGCTTTTGTTAATAATACTTTTGTGTAATTCAAAAATTGAAGCACAGTACTATACTGCTTAAATTGAATAAATCCAAATTGAAGCTTGGAAAAAAACTACACATTGAAATTCTCGTGAAAAACCCACACTCTAAACGTTTTGTAAATTCGGACCATAAACTGGATTTTAAAACTACTGGGAAGAAATAATAAGTTGAAGATCGTTAGCCAAAATTGGCTAAGTAGTAAGTGTGAAATTTATAGTCACAATTAAAAAATAAGAAATTTTAGGGGAAAAGATTTCGAATAAACCATCATAAAGGGAAAAGCATTAAGCGATATTGACTGGACAAGTAAGTTTGGTTATATAAAATAACTGGTAGGTTTCATAGTGGTTGGTACATATCAGAGAAGAGTATCTTCTATATCACGGGAACTGATGTGATTCGCTAGAAGTTCTAAAACTAATCACTCGATGCCGCAGCTGAGGGTAGCGTCCTGTAAAGCTGATATGTGTACGTTCATCGGTTAGTAACTTACCGGCAACAGAAATACATAGGTTGTCATACAACTTAGTTAATGTTGTATGGTCCTTTATACAATCAACAATTACGTAATCAATCAACAGCTAAATTATCTATGAAATCTATTGATTCAAAAATATATGATCAATGACACATGATCTAAGTAGATTATTTCATACAAATAATTAAAACCACTGTTCGCATTTGTTAACTGTTACTTATTACATTTGTCTAGAAATCGCTGAACTAGTTAAAAAGCGTTTATATTGCGAACAAATAAGTATATGATAATGATAAACACATCGAATCGAATGGTAGTAACAAACCAAAATTTTGTTGGGAATCAATTGCATTTTTCCGATTCATTATAGCCTACAGATTAGTGTTCATTTTCTAATGTAACCTAGCTTCAAGTTTCAAGTATCATACAAACACAGGATGTAGGCTTTGAGTATGAGATGAAAATTATTTTCGTTGTTTCAAGTAATTTAATGCTAGGTCAGTATAAAAAAACAACAACTGAATTCTCCACTAACTTTGTTAACTTGTAAATTATAGACTTTATTTATGCTATTTATTCAGATTAGAAAGAAGCGCTCCTACATCAGCTTAACCCCAGATGTACATCAACTGACAAATATTGATCAGTTTGATACTAAACACATGAATGACATAATATGCTTAATAATAATAATAATAATAATAATAATAATAATAATAATAATAATAATAATAATAATAATAATAATATAGTACCACAAGATACATTGATTGACACGGAGCAGAAGTTTCAGAATTGCTAAAATAACAAGTTGTATGGTATGAGACACCAAACAAGGCTAATCAAAGTCATTAATTTACTGATATTGTAAGTATACCAGAAAGGTCAATCGTTGGTAATCAGAAATGACCTAAAGGATAAGTGCATCTCATTGGCTAAAAAATGGATTAATTTCCTAAGGATTTCAGTGGCATATATATATATATATATATATATATATATATATATATATATATATATATGTATCAATGAGTAATTGTGCATATTATTCGGTAGCTCAATACACTTTCCCGCCCACTCACGTGTGGTTAGTTGGGGGGAGGGGGTTAGCGCCCAGACACTCTGGGTATCAGTACCACATTTCAGACACCTCTTGTTACAACATTCACGTAAAGATCTAATACGGTGAACTATATGCCGATAAGAATAAATCACTCTTAGTACTTACCTTTTCATATTTAAACTGTGGAAATTTGGTAGAATTGAGTGGAAAACACTTAATAATAGGAGAATGTTTATATCACTTACCAAATAATCAGCTACTGTCCATCTTCTCAATTTCAATGCAGTCCATAGAGGGTTAATATATGACTGACAGTCAGTTTCGCTGAATAATTTTTAAAATGCAACAAAAGAATAAATAAAATGTGGTGTTTAATTACTAAACTTTTCATTTAGATAAGAAAGTGAATGCGGAATTTCAAATTACTTATTTATTCACAGAAGACAGTTGATAAAGTAGAAATAAACAAATGATTTGATGTCTTTTTATTGCCAAAACCAAATATGTAAACTAAAAGTAGCAAGGAAAATATCGGCTCTGTCTACTAAAAACCAGAGCATAGTACTTAATTTTTGGCAGGCTCGAACGGATCACAATAAATAAAGTAGCAATGAAACTCAGTAAATATTTCTGTATTCTCCCTTGAGATAGAATTTTCGTATGGAGCTAGTCATACAACCAAAGGCTTCATCAAACCAAATGGAAGAATTCCGACCTGCAGTCAAGCGACCGAAAGTCAAGCACATTAACCATACCGAACACCATTCATGACACAAAGGCTGATATATCCAGCCCTATTGGTTACTGGAATTTTAATTTCGACAACACTATACTCACTCGGTTTAAATTGTCTATTCTGGTTAACATATTTTAGCAAGGTTGATTTCTATGGGGTCTAGTTGCTGACTCCATGCCCAACCATCCACCTTTACTCGGACATGGAACCTTCAGTAGCCATAGAAGGGACGTCACTATACCAAAAATCGGAGAAATCAACATGGCCATCAAAAAATCAACAGAGGAAAAGCAATAGGACCACACAACATACCAGCTGATGCACTGAAGTCACACGCAGAAATAACTGCGAATATGCACCATTTCCTATTTATGAATTGGGGGGAAGAAAATTGCCACCGACAGACTGGAAAGAAGGATATCTCATCAAGATACCAAAAAAAGAGATCGCAGAACGTGTGAGAATTACACAGACGTCACACTATTATCGGCGACAGGAAACGCTTGTTGCTGAAACGGATGAACGATTAGGTAGACAAACAGCTACGAGACCAACAGGACGGATTTCATACAGATCGGTCGTGCACAGCCCAAATTGTGGCACCACAGATCATCGTTGAACAATCGGTCGAATGAAACTCGTCATTATACATCAACTCGATTCACTATGAGAAAGCGTTTGACTGTGTGGATAGGAGAACTTTATGGAAGGTTTGGAGTTCTTGAGATTGTCAACATTATATTCATACGACGGACTACACTACAAAGTCGTGTAAGGAGAAAAGCTGACAGGCGCATCCTGAATGAGGGCCAGAGTCAGACAGGGCTGCATACTCCATATCTGACGAGAAACACGTAATACAATGACCAGGTTAGATGTAACTAGACGATTTGAACTTCACAGAAAACCTAGCTCTTCTATCCCATACAAGCCAACAAATTAAGATGAAGACAACTAATGTAGTATCATATCTCAACATTTACAAGGGAAAAAACAGGATCCTCAAATACAACACAGAGCATCAACACAATCACACTTGATGGAGAAGCTCTGAAAGAGGTGGGAACTTGCACGTACCTGGTGAGCGTCATCGATAGACAAGGAGGATCTAATACAGATGCAAACGCATAGGTCGGCAGATCAAGGCCAACATTCACACAACTGAAAAATATATGGGACTTCAAACAACTATCAAACAACATCAAAGTGAGGATCTTCAGTACGAACGTCAAGACAGTTCTATTGTACGGAGCTGAAACGTGGAGAACTACTACAACAATCATCAGAAAAGTACAAGTATTTATAGACAATTATCAACGCAAGATACCAAATGTCCGTTGACTTGATAGCATCAGTAACAGCTTACTGTAGGAGAGCACAGACTAGCTTCCAGTTGAAGAGGATAATAGGAAAAGACGATGAACTTGATGGATAGGACATGCATTACGGAAATCACCAACTGCATCACAAGGCAAGCCATAACTTGGAATCCTGAAGGGAAAAAGAAAGAGGCAGAAGACAGAATACATCGTGTTGGGCATTGGAGGCAGACATAAAAAAATCAACAGCACTTGGCGACAACTGGAAAGACTTATCCAGGATAGAGCTCGATGAGGAATCCTGGTGGGCAACCCATACTCCACGGGGTAACATGAGTAAGTGAGTGAGTAATAATTATCAAATCATTGACGATAATTACAAAACATAACCTAAAAATGCACAATGATCCGTAAATGCTATCGATTTTGCGTATCTATTAAACGATAAAGAGATCACCAAGGTATGACTGCCTGAATTGGTGGTACTAAGGGGGTTAACATCAATGTGTAAGACATCAAATGAGGAGGAACATGTTCAAGAAAGTGTATTTAGCATCCAGTTGTCACCTGAATACATGAAATCAGTAACAATAAATCAAGAGATTTATGTATAAGCATACAAACTAATACGTTTGTTAAACTTCCGGTGAAATAAAATGAAAAAACCGATCATGTCATTGTGAGCAGCTGAAAGGCAATAAACGGTTCCCAATTTTTAGAAACACGCATATCGTTTTTGATCATTTACAAACCATACATCTTTATTTTTTTACATAGTTTTCATAGACATCCGCCATATTAAAGTTGCCCAAAATTTTTCTCGATCAGTAAAAAATTCAGTCACAAGACCATATGCTACTTCAGATGTAACCGATTGGATATACATATCACATTCACTGACATAACTAAGTAATATAAATACAATAATACATCAATCAACGAATAATCAAATTATAAAAAATGCGTTGGAATAACATCCATAACATATACGGTTAGGATGAATTTGGTAAATAGACACGAAAACAAACATAAAGGAGACAAATATTTAAATATAACTAATATTTTTAAGACCAGCAGAAACTATGAAATAATACTTCTCATTAATATCAGCATCATGTTCGACTAAGAATTTCACAGCTTCGAATTGGTCACGTTCAATGGATTGAATCAATAAAGATGGCTTGTTACATTTTGTGGGTATTTTATTTAGAAATGATTGAATAGCGTTATCGGATTCATTGAATTTAGAGTCATGACTAGCTGATGTATCCTTTGATTGATTACACATAGATTCTAATATTCTCTTGACCAACTGAACCTGCTCCGACCACAAAAGTAAGCTGATGACTGAATCACCAGACTCATTCAATAGCAACCAATCAACATTAGCTGTGGATAATAAATAGAGATAAACAAAACGTAAGGAACATATGCCTGGAATCTAACTAGATAGATTACTAAGGTGTAAGTAGAAATTAACAGGTAGGAAATGAAATATGACGAGAAAGTGTAAAAAAAACTCGACAATTCACACAATTGAATTTTGGCCCATGAATTATTATTTAAGAGATATTTTGGTTAACAAAACGACCAGTGGTTGTAGTTTCCACAGAATGAGCTAGATTTAAAAACCAGTTAATTGTCTGTAAATAGCAAATAAATCAGAGCTCAATTTTATGTTTATGGAATATATCTTTTCTGTGGCATCAACTATCACGAAATCTGCACGTTAACTAGAACTCGTTGTTAACAAATCACATATATTCATCTTATTAGTAAAGTGATTACCGTCTGTCTTGTGAATGTGGACAAGTGAACAATTTTACAGTTAGTTAAGTACACGCGTTGTATCTTAAAAAATTAACTTAAATCATACGAAAAGAATTTCGTGAACTGTCATTTTAGAAGTTTAAAGTCGCACGCGAAAATAAAGATTTGGCTTTATAAAAATCTCATTCACATCGACCAATTTTCAGGGTCACACTTAATGGTCTCACAAATACTTAAAAAATTCCCATTCCCTTATTATCACCAGCAATGATAAACAGACGTCGACGTATCTACTTATTTCTCAACGATTGGGTGTTTGGGATCAAAGAATAACACAGGATAGTGTGAATTTGAATTGTTAGCCACTGGGTTTATTGGGTTGTTCAGTTACATAGCGTAACAGTCATGCTGAATTTGATTTCGACTGGCATATCAGGAACACAAAAACCATAAGACCGTGCACACGCTACTTATGTTAAGCATGAAAACTGAAAATAATGAATTTATGACTTTTGATTTTTGTCAGTCCTCCTGGACGGAACACTAAGAAAAATATATCAAACACAAGCTGCCACAGTTTTCGAGAATATACATTTTATAAGGAAATTGCACAAATATACGACCACAATTTATCCAACCAACATATGACGACTGACTTAGTAAGGGTAGATTTGAAGCGTTATCAAACTGATCGAACCATTATATGAAGCTGTTAGGTTGATACTTACTGATTTAGGTTATACGAAGAAGTTCCCCAAATGGTCTATGGGAATTCCCTAGTAAAAAGTGACTCAAAAACAGTTTTAATGACAGATGTGTCCAGTTTTAACATTTTTTTATCATAAACATTTTAATATTCATCTTTTTATTAGAAATTCGTTATTTTGCAACCAGCTGTCATTATTTGCGATGATATTCCAAAGTACAGCAAAGGGCTGTGTGGTGTTATGGTTTAAGGAGAAATGACTTTCAAACGTCAAGGTTACGAGTGTGAATTCTACTTTACCTATTTGGGTTAGGGTAACTGGATAGAATAATTAGCCATGAGGCAGTAACTTTAAAAAAGTAGGTTCCAAGTACAAACACCGTTTCATCGGCATAAGTTTGAACAATTAGACAGTATCATTAAAATTCACATTAGAAAGTCTGATTGAAAGCTGAGTACATGAATCTGTACTTTTTATATTTCTCATACGTCATCGTACAAAAATGAATGCATTAAATCTAAGTATGGGAGCTTATATGAGGTTATTGAAACAGTTCAAATATACCATTCAGTCAGTCTTGAATTTCATTAGCTAATTAACCATAAACATTAGCATATAACACTTTACTGATCATCTTGAATGCAATAGTTTAACTGGTTTACTAAGTGCATGTTTAAGTACTCACCTTTCAGTCGCATTTTTTGTGTGAGAACTTATGATAAACTCCAGCTACCTGATACTACAGTAACGTGGAGTTCGAACTTGTGACCTAATGATTGAAAGCAAAAGTTGCTAGACCAACAACCTACTTTAAGTTACTCAATGTATGATCTACCAAATCCAAACTGAAAAGAGACTATAAAGGAATAATGCTGACTAACCGTTGTTTTCAAGATAAAATTCGAGTATTCCAAACATTTTGTGTTGTACAGCAAGATGTAAAGGACTGCAGTATATTTGTTGGGTAGACTTGTGGTCACTTTTAATTTCTCTCAATGATGATGAATCTAATACCGATGGAGTGGAAATAATAGTACCGTTAACTGCTGAGTCAGTGGATAAATGTGAACTATTCACTTGACATGATATATTATCCATAGGGTTAGATAAGAGATTGCAGTAACCATTACTTTCATAGTCATCGTCGAAAGGATTTAATGACTTCGTAAAGTTCATTTGATTAGCTTCTTTCACACAAGTACTTTCGTAAGAAGTTTGTGACAGGATTTCCTAAATAGAACGGAAATTATCACTTTATGTCGTATTATTTTCTTTAATATGAAAACGGTATGAAAAAAATCAGAATCTTGTACAGAAATGAAAGGAAACGTCATGCTCTACACGAAATAAATTATTATGGCCAGATAAGTGTTAATAAGGACAAGGGATCAGTTAAACCCCAATTTGTAAAATTACAGAAATGAATCTACTTGCAGACAGAGCAAAAACAACGAGGTTTGAGGAATAAACGAATTCATTAGTCCATTTCACGGGTTCTCGTCAACTGTATACAACTTAAAATAACAATTATTATTATCAATATTAACAAATGTTTTGTACACTCCAGTATGTGAAGTTTAGATAACTGTTTGAAAGCTAAGCAAAATCGCAATAATAATAATAAGAATGAGGATACACAGTGTATGAACAGACATAAGTAAGACAGATGAGTATTTACGTACTGAAAATTAATAATCCAAAGATGTTGTAAAGGTAATGAAATTAATAATAAGTGATCGTATTATAACTCACATGATGAAATAAGCAGACATACAAATATCAATAAGATTGTGTAAGGTGTGTATATCAGCAGACGGAATAAAAACAATATAAAACATTTGAACTCTATCCTGACAGCTGAACGATCATCATTAGGAAGAATCATGACGCCGTATTGTGAAAGCCGAGATTCTTCGGAAACCACAAGGTAGATTCCCATTCTAACAACCAGAGCAACAACTAACATTCCTTCGAGATACTGAAAAACTCAACCAATTCACGATAACTCTCAATAATAAGTTCCAAGCCTTACAGGATCCACTCAAAGAAGAAACTACTGTGGTGGACAATTGGAAAACGATTAAAGAGGCACTAACTTCAACATGTCAGTAGGTTCTGGGCCGCAACAAGCATCACCAAAACGAATGTATCTCTTTCGAAACACTGGACGACATTCAACAAAGGAAAAACAAGAAGACAGCAATTAACAACAGCTGAACAAGAACCCACAAAGTCAAGGTACAAGCTGGATACACAGAAACAAACAAAAGATTGAAAAGAAGCATTAGAACCGACAAGCAGAAATACGTGGAAGACCTAGCAGCGAAGGCGCAAAAAGCTGCAAGAGGAAGAAATAAAAAACAACTATATGACACTACGGAGAAACTGGTTGGAGAATATAGAAAACCAGAGACCGGTCAATGACAAAGAAGGCAAACTCATCAATGACATTCAAAAACACAAAAGCAATCGACTTATACCCTAACCTGTTGTTAAGATGAAGCAAATATGTAATTCAGTAACTTATTAAATCGCTAGTTACGTCAGTTAAATCTATTCGTCTTATAAATTGTAAACATGCATTTATTAGTCACTCAATGTACATCAACTATTGCCTAATTCAATATATTGAAATTCACCTATCGACCAGATAAGTAAATCATATATAATTTAGTGTAGTTTGATATAGTTTTTGAATTAGCGGTTAGATTATTTGTGGATTTTTTGTAGGTGCATAAATAAATCTTCGTCTGCAGTCTTGCCTTCTCCAGTGTATTAAATCATATCAGTCTTGTGTTGTGGCAGGCAACAGTTTTTCAACAGTTATAACGAGTAGTAATATCGGTATCTTATTAAACCACAACATATATCTTCCTTCATAAAATTAAGACTGTCGCAAAAATCTTTTCAGAAATTCGGATCACTCAAATGGTATATATTATACAACTACTATATTATTATACTACAGATATGGACCTACTAAATCCAAATGATCGATTTCTACTGACAAATGTACTTTTTGGACAGTTATTGGTACAGTTTATTAGGAAATTGAAAATTTCCTATTCGACTTATATTAAAAAAACCACAAAAACAATTATTTTAATAAATAATTAGATACTTAAAGTAATCTATAAAACATCCCGCTTTTTTAGCCCAATCGTTATTAAAAAATTGTAATAAAACTGCAGTGTTAATTAAAAATTGTCCAAGATATATCTACCTCACTGTCTGATGTTATTATATTAACTTTGGAAAACCGTAAACGATTTGGGTCAGTGTCGTTCCGCATAATCAAGCAATTGCATAAATTAGACAGTTCAGCTTCTACGGCAACATGAAAAACTGTTTCTCCTTGAGTAAATGACTCTAAAGTAGGATCACATTGTGAGTGATCAAGAAGAAATAAAGCAGCTGATTCCCATCCGATTCGTGAAGCAGCCAAAAGCAAAGTGTCACCTGGAAGTGGATTCTTCAAAGATTTACCATTCAATGCAGAATAATGAACATCAGTAAATCTATAATTCACGTTAGCACCATTTTCAATCAACTGACTAGCGAAGTCATATGAATTACTTGTCAATGAGTTAGCTGAGAAGTATGCAAAGAGTATGAATGGGTAAGAAACAGTACAAATTGATGAAACCAAAAAAACAAAAATATGAATTCAAGATAACAGATATATTGTAAGAGACTTAAAGCTTATCCAGATCGATAAACGACTTACAAAGCAGTTGAATATTATCAGAAAAAGTCACAAACTTTAACCTTTACTAATTATATGAATTCGTTAATTAACCAATAGGATGAGTTAATTAATGTTATTATTTATTATTGCTCAACGCACTATCAGTGCACAACTCCGAGTTGTTTTTTTATACTTTTTAAAGCTCATCGTCATAAAAACATTTACTGGTTGTCGCTTAGTCATCTTTAGCATTTCGAATATTTTACTACTACTGAGGATAGGAATATTACAATAAGAATAGTTGGCTGCAAAGTCAACTATCCAAGCATTACACAGCTGGTGTTAATGACTTTAAAATATACCTGATTTCCATTATAATAAGCAAAATTATCAACTTTTCTGAATACGTCAAGGGTTTCAATTACGGATTTGTGATGAACTAATGAGAAGTAATATCAATGACTTAAGTTTTATATCTTTGTCCATTTGCAACTTTCTTGGAAAAATAAACTATTATTTACAGAACTATGGAAATCCAGTGTGCTCTTAATTCACATGCATGAAATAACGTATACAATAACTTTTCTGACATAATACATAATCTATTAGCTTTTTTCATATATGACTGGCTGAATTCGTCAAAAAAAGCTGTTCAACTTGGACGTTCAAAGTTTGGTGGATTTACTTAAAAGCCAGAATGCACGATGGTAATACGCGGTATCTTTGGCACATTTGTAGTGCTAGTCTGACGGGTCTAGAATTTGTTGGATGTTAGTTCATTCTGTGTTCAATTACTGTTGTTTCCAAAGGGATGTTAACATTCAGTGTCAACATTATTTTAGTAACATTGAGGTTCACTAATGTATGTTAGAGCACAATGACGAAATCTGAATCAGTCACCACCTTAAAACACTAGTTTTCGGTGGCTTGGTCATGTGTTAAGAATACCAAAACATTGACATCCACACTGTAATAATTGGCCATGCCAGCATAAGGTAATAAAAGAGAGGTGGTAGGTTTATGATATGGCTTCATAGTATGAAAGGAAGCTACATAGAATGGGCATTTGTTGACACATCATGATTCAACAGCTGTAGTCCTAGAAATAAACAACTCAGGGGCTTAATACCTAATAAGATATGGCTCACAACAGAAGTAAATTCCGATTCCGCTGTAGTTTTCTTTTAGGTACATAAAAATGGGAACTCACTCATCTGAAAGAACTGGTCGTATTTTTACTGGATTGTTTCTCCTATTGTATACTAGCCTCATTCACTTTTATTGATTCATTTACCTGGGTTCACACCTCGCTCTTTATCGCTTCACAGTTACACCTTATTTGTATGGCACGCATTTATTTAGATGCTCAGTCGTATCAGTGTTTATGTTTATTAAATCAGTCAATAAAATACACAAAGATCCGCTTAGATTCATACTTGTTAACCAGTTGTTGAAAGACAAATGCATAAACCTCCTAACTAAATTATTATATATATTGCAAATATTTCCTTACAATGGCTAAGCGATTTATTACTATAACTATTTAACAACGATAATCGAAATGATAACTTACATTTAAATCCATAAACACTTGGATCACGAAAACTGAACTTTCTGACAAGCGCTAACCACAGTGGACATAATCCTTGATTATTGGGTAAATCTAAATTAGGCTTCTTGGAATGATTGATCAGTAAATTAAATAAACTTGAATTATTGTGCAAAATAGATAAATGCAACGGTGAACTAAAAGAAAAGTGATTTTTTTTAAAACACAATGTTAATTCTCTCATTCGTTGAAACAATAAAAATATTATTTACGACGTTATATTATATCGCTACACAAAATTTGGAAACTAAATCCATTTTGAATAGTTTTTTATGAAAACGTAATAGACAGCTAATCATTCAAACCTCCAGAATAAACAGAAAAACACCTTTAAACGGTTACTGTTTGTTTGGTCCTTTGTTTAAAGTATGTTTGGAATCGCAAAAAGTAATTTATTAATTTTTTATTAGAATTAGAATGCTTAGGAAGAGAATTACGAGTGGTATTCAATGAAAGATACGATTACTTTAATCGTTAGTTGGAAATACTTTAAAACGATGAAAAAAGAGCTTCATTGGTGAGATTTTTTGGAAAGATACCTTGTAAACTAGCAAATGGAGTTACTCATATGGTTGTATACAATTTGAAGTATGTTGACCTGTTCAAGTAGTGACAAAAACTGTAAAGACATTGTACTTTTAAAAATTCTGATACTTCGCATATTCGTTTATTATTTGTTGAGATACTTTTAACACAAGCAACCACGAGAATGTCTACGAAAAACCGAGATATTATTTCACAGTATTTGTTTGGATGCTATGATTAAACGAAATACGATTAGTAGATCTGTTAAGTAAACATTAAAATTAAATATTACTATAAATCAGCTCCACGATCTAAGAATTTTGTCAAAAAATAGCTTACTTTCCGTCTATATCTTGGGAAGAAATATTAGCACTTTGTTGGATTAATGTTTTTGCTATATTTATCACAGCTTCTGACATTTCCTTTGCGTCGGTTACTGCAAGGTTATGAAGTAGTGTGCGAGACGACATTGAATCACAGAAATCACACTTGATTTAAAACAAAATACATTAATATTCATTTATTATTATCCAAAATCTAAAAGGAAATATTGATTTGAAATTGTTATATATGTTTATTGATGTGAAAAGATTATTTTTCATAGGATAAACGAAGCTGTATATAAACTATTCCTAACTTTAGGAAAGACTGACTATAACTAAGAAATTTCTTACCTTGCGTTTTTACTAGTAGTATGAAGAGTTAAAAGTGTACGTATTGGGTAAATAGACAAGTAAGACCACATAGTACCTTCATTGTAAAAAAAACTACATACTTTCCTTATCTCTTTGAATAAGACGTTTTTCAGAAAATCGTACAAAAACTAGCATAAACATTGGAACTTTAAGGAGAATAAATACCTGGTACAATCCCTAGGAGAATGCTAGATGATATTGAGTAACCAAGGTTTATAATAGCGACAAAGAATGAATACAAAATTAGAAGCAGAGAATTGGGTATACAACATACTGATACTAATAACATAAAAAGATGGTCCAACTCAGTAATCAACAAACGATTCATGGAGTGGACTTGTAGCCATATAGTGTATGAAGAATGTATATACTACACGTCCACCTAAGTTGAATTGGGATTAAAATACAAGATCATTCAAAAACAGGAAATCGAATTGAGCTGATCTACCCCTACATGATCCGATATATACATACATTTTTGTACGCTTTTTAGGTACCACGGAGTAGTTTATTTATTAAAACACAAACAATGGTACAAGGAGGCACCAAATATATATGCTCCACACTTCATCATTCGATTTGTGCGAGGGCTGGAATACTACCCGGACGCCCAAACCGAAGCAGGCGGTTTTCTAAGGGTGCCACTCCCTGAGTCTCGGACCTAAAGGTCAAATCTACAAGGCAGTGGAGAAATGTAATGAAATGCAGTCCGATGGTAGCCGGTTACAAACAACAGGTTCACACGCTGTTTGTTCCTTCAGGATATTGGAGCCCATTTGCAACATCGGTTTGGAACCAGGGTTTTCCAACTCCTTTCGATGGAACTTCCGTGTCCACCAACCCGGTTAGTGTGCCGGACATTCGCTTTTCGTCCTCTCAATTTCATAAATAACACCCCCGTCGCGAGAAGGCGGTGAATAGAACTTCCCTGACAGCGGGTGTATATGTGTGGCCAACGGGTAGAAAGATCATTTGCGCCTATTCAGTCTTTCTCTATTTATTACTTTACATAACAGCCTAAATGTTCATCCTTAATTATTATTAGTAACCGAATAGTTAATTCCTTAGATTAGTTCTTAAATCCATTAACGATGAAAATTCACAACACTTGAAAAAATGTACCGCTTTTAATCATTATAGTGACCAAATTACTAATCCAATAAATAAGCTCATTATTGTGTCATTTCCATGAACTATTTAGTTATTCAAAGTAAATAGTCATTTCATTTTATCTTATGACTCTTCAAAAGTGTGTTTATTTAAATACACAGTTGACTGAATCCACAACTTTTGGGCCCTTTGAGCAATAACACACTTCGTCACATAAACAGTAATTAGATGGTTAGCCCAGACTAAGTACTACAAGAAGAAGTAAAAATTCCAACTACCCATCAAATTACTAAACAAGTAAATGGGCTAGTTAATATCTAACGTATGTCTAGAAGTTTCACATTCTTGCTGTCATGATGTTGAATTTCTTGTTCAAACATTTCAACATACCACATTCACTGAACAAAGTTGATAGCTTCGGTGAACTATTAGATATCTAAAACAAATGCGAATCACTTTTTCGACAAAAAGAGTCAAGAACATATTGTACTCATCTAAATAACAATTCTACAACTAAATGCCTGGAGTACTTATATCTCATGTACTACAATAATCTACTATTGTCGATTGGTCATGCAAAAATTGTTGAACCACAGATCAATTTTATTTTCTTAAGCAAATGGAAACATCAGAACAGAACGATAGAAGTAATGAGGTTCATAGTCGTAAACTGTCTGCTTCTACATCACGAATAGAGAACTCAAAGTAGAGGCCAGAATAACTACCGGAGTATGGTTTAAGACAACCGTAATTCCAATGAAATCATGGACCGGTAAATGTTAGACTACCACTGAAAACCTGAGAGAAATGGGTGGGGGTTTCACCCTAGTATGGGACTCAGCAGTGCTCGTCCACGATCCCGCACGCGGGGATTGAATCTAGGACCTTCGGTCTCAAGCGCGAACGCTTAACCTATAGACCAATGTGTCGGCATCTAACGGTGTTAATGTTCAACTTCAATTAACTCATTATATTGAAATTCAACAATCTCCATGACCCTACACTGATAAACCGTAATTTATCTGAACTTTCAAGACATTAAGGTTAAAATATTTACAAACCAATTACATTGGAACCATGAAGCAAGAGAAATTGGACAGCTTCATAATGGTTTTTTCTAAACGCAAACTGAGTAACAGGTTGCTTTTCGTCAGTAGGACCAATAAGTGCGTTTATATCTGCGCCTAGACCAATTAGTTTATCAGCAAGCTCGAAATGTGCATCCTTTAGGGCCATATATAACGGTGATAGACCATTTTCATTCAGTTGATTTACGAGGAGTTTAGCCTGGAACAAAGAATGTTAGCGAAATTAATGAGTTACGAGACTACAGTAATGGTAATAAAATTAGATATGTCATCTGTGGATGTTTAATTTCGTAATAGTGTCAATCAGAGACACGGCACTTTGGAAACTTATTCCGTACACTAGGATATGAGAGCACCAGTTATGTTAGATTTTAACTTACAGGACTGTGTTACTTGAATACTCTTAGTTGATAAGTGGGTTTCTAAGGACGAAAAATCTCACAAACCTCAGAAGCAATCAATATCTTCTAAATTCCACTCGGAGTTAAATAAGCAATAATGATAGTTCATTTCAGGTGAAACTCAACAAAATACAACTAGGAGGTAACCGAAGACTAGTTAAATAGTTCTTTAGCATTTCTTCTACCACATGAACTGTATGCTATTAACGTTTACCAATTGTGTCTCTGAGTAATATTTCTGAAAACATCACTATTCTCGAGAGAGTTAAATAAGAAAAAGTAGTTAATTTATAACTCTAAGGTACTTAAATTTCTTATATTACTGTAGTCTGCCATTACATGTGATTACCACGTAAAAACTGTAAGGTCGTAGCAAAATTCCTTGCTAACTATAATTAAAAGAGAAAGACAGTCACTGAAATCCCAGGTTGAAAATTTAGCTGCTTTATCATGGTAGGATGTCGCCGATTATAAAGTATTCGTCGCTTGGAATAAGTACTATGTTGATGATATTACTAAAAAACTTAAGTCAGGATAACAGTGTTAGGCCACAGCTGAACAATTTTTTGAATCTCACGATCCCAATAAGTGCAGCTCATAAGAAGTAATAGATGAATTTTATCGAAAGCTCCCAAACCTCCTTTAAAATGTTAGACGCTCTGATTTGTTGTTGTTGGTGGTGGTAGGTGATTGTAACGCTTAAGTAGGTAGGCTAAGCCAAACCGAATGGCTTACAGTGTAGCGCGAACGGAAAATGTCGACCGTCTTTTGCAACTACACTTCGATAACTGTCTATTCTCAACAAACACCAACTTTAGGCATAAAGAAAAACATCGTCTGATGTGGCAACCCCCCACAATCGACTCAATGGAGGACTTAAATAGACTACATTACCACCACTCATTGTTGGAGAGACTCAGTAGTAGCAGCCGCTCATTCCGGAATACATGTTTAGACTTACATCATGTTAAGGTTCAAGAACGCACTTATCTGAGTTTTACTGGACGTAAAAAGACAAAAGAGAAACCCTTAGAGTTCAGCCTAGTGATGAAAAAGCTGAGAACATACTTCATGAACAACTAGAGGGGTTAGCCAACCATGAAACTAATATCCAACCCGAATTAGCTTGTCATGATATCCAAAAACCGTGGAAACTGTAGCGATATCTATCAGTAACTTAAGTCGAATAGTTAGAATAAGTGGATTTAGGCGGTGTTTACTGAACTGGTGAAAAGACGGGACTTTTGTTCCCTCTCAATCTGGGAGACTGGATCAGTGGGCAGAAAACTTTAGGGAACATTTTGACTGACCCTCAGTCACACTTCAGTTACCCACTATCTTCAAGTAATCGGAATGACAAACTGATGTAAGTCCTCCAACTCTCAGTGAGGTTGTAAAGGCTACAAGTAATGTAAAGTGAGAGAGCAGCAGAGCCTGATGGATTAACGTCTGAGATTTTTAAGGATGGTGGCCCGGTTTTATCAGTTACATCGACTGAAATGTTAGCTAGAATCTGGAAACTAGACGTAATTCCATCTTACTAGCCTCGATCGCCGATGGTCCCAGTTTTTAGGAAAGGACAAATATCCTTTTGCGATAACCACTGAAGAATTAGTTTAATTTATATAGTGTCTAAAATATTAGTCTCAGTAATACTTTGAAGTCTAACCTCAGGCTGGTCTCAGACATTGACGTGGATGTAAACAGCAAATATTCGCACTCTAGCAGGCTCTGGAACACAGACATCCTTTGTGAGGTCCGAGAAGTTGTATTCCTTGACCTTAAAGTGGCGATCGACTCCGTTCGTCGTGAGGTTCTGTAGTAGTGTCTGTTTCTGAAAGGCGTACTAAATAAGTACATTACCGTTGTATAGTTTCTCTACACGAACACTACCGGCCAAGCCAGAGTTTATTGGTTACTAAAAATAGAAGATACTTGTCGGTTACTGGTATTCGATCATAGGTGCCTTTGAATCATTGGTCGTTTATTTTGGGATCACCGAGTAAGCAATGTCTAGGTTAGGAATAGAGCACTAGTTAAGGACGGTAAATCAATTGATAAGGTGGTATATCCTCATAAACTGTGGTGGTTGGAATACGTGTTACATATCCCTAACCACTCCCTACCTGGACGGCCGATGTTATTTAGTGTAGCAGTAGACTGGAAGAAACGTAGGGACGGACAAACCAAAACAATATCAATTCATGAAGTGATCGAAAATTGAAATTAGCCATGTTAATGAATGTAGGCTACCTGGTTGGAGTCTGTGTGGAAATCATAACCAGTGGTTAGAGACTTAGAACGACGTAACTCAAAATAGTCTGCGATAGTGCAAGTGCATTCTGTCTCCTATCTTCTGTTAGATCTTAAGCCTTTAAATTTCTGAGTTTTTTCATTAATTCATATTTTCTTTAATCGTGTTGTTATAACTCTCTTTTTCTTCTTACGGTTAATGACCCAGCTATTCCTATTGCTTAGTATTCTCGGACACCGATTCACTCGACAAGTCCCCTAATCAAAACACGGTTGAACAGGAAGAGATTATATTCCAAATAACAAGTCAGAAGCCAGTAGGAAGCACAATAGGGGAAAACGTCGGTATATTTATAGTTTTTACATAAGAAGATTCCAGAATATTCTCCGACTATCGACTACTGCTGATTAGATAAGAATCAGCCAATCAGCGTGCACCAAAACAATCATGCATTGAGCATGCTTTAATCTAGTCTATGTCCCGCTAACACGTGTCTTTGATCCCTACATCGAAGCCAATAATGACTCCTTTTACAACACGTGGGTAAAAAGTAAGTAGATGCGCACTGCTGAGGAGTTCCATACTAGGACGAAACGGCCGTCGAGTGCTTCTAAGTTTTGAATGGCGGTCTAGCTTAGGTGGACTCATGAATTCAACTATCATAACAAGTAATCCCCTGTCAAAATATAACTTTATTAAGTAACGGTTAACTTTCGGGAGGTAATAAAAACTTGAGCAAACCATACAGTATGTAGTGTGACTAGTCTACAGTAACGACTGACTGACATAATTGTGGTAACATATGAACTTAACTAAAATTAAGCGGAACACGAGTTATCATGAAAGAACTTAAAGGAGCGTGTCCCAAAGACATCGAAATGTTATTAGAGATAGCCATTTGTGATAGATGTGAGTTACGAGAGAACTGGCGTCTGCATAGAGATATATAAGCGTTTTCACTGAACCATCTCATTAAAAATGCACGACAGCTCCCAATAGAAATAACACTTAAATAAAAAAATATCTGGTAAATAGGAGTTGTTGCACACATAAACCATGCAAATGACAGCTAAAATAAAATACCTTTGGATGATCAACGTTAAGCAAAGATAAAACTGTGTCATCTCTTCCAAGGTCAATTGCTGAGTGAACGGGGAACTTGGAATACTTCTCGAGAAAAGATTGCAAGACAGGGGCAGAAACTGTAGAAATTTCTTTCACTGAAAAATTAGGCTGGAAAACCAGGTAAATATTAATCAAATTGCGTACCCAAACACGTGACATAAACGAGAAGCAATGGTCTAACAACCGGGTGGCTCTTAGTCTATGCGAAGACGAATACAATGACAAACAGTTTTCTCTTGTCACTAGTGGAATTAAAGCGATTTCGCACCTACAACTTAAAAAATAGAAATACTTACTGGGTAAATAAGGAAGGCAAGCAAAATTCTCGTGCAAGAGTCATTAAATCGGACAAACATTGTGCTTCATACTCTTCCAATATGCCCCTATAAGTCCATAGAATAAAAGCTTCGCACACATTTTGACAATAACCTTGAGAGACTAAACGGAAGTGGACTTTAATTACCTTGTATATTTATATATTCTACACCATCCTCTGTATAAACATTCCAAACTCCTCCCCTAGCATCGAGAACAAATCTGTGCCCTGGGACAAGAACGTTCGGTGTTTTGAACAGTACATCACTATCATAAGTTATTAGCGAAGCCAAGTTGCAGCTACCTGTATTTCGTATTCAAAAACAAACTCTCAACAAATGCAAGTATATTCCCACAAAAATTTTGTTCCCTGTGTCCGAGTTCTGCCATGAGCATCTCTTTTTCTTTTTCAAGCTTTTCAACTCTATCTCTAAGTTTCTGATATTCTAACTTAACGTTAGAAATATAAAAGTCCGAAGCCATAGGACAGGAGTAACCTTGAAATTTGAAATCTCACAAATTTTCAATCCCTAATTATTAAGGTAGTGTGAACCGATCGAGTTCTTCACTTTCATCTTTAGGTGCTGCCGTATGGTTCCAGGTCGGTAGGTTGAAGGTTTGCTGAGTCGACCTTGGCTAAAAAATGGTGTAATGAGAGCCAGCTTTCAATTTTTGGGTCTTATAGGTAGAATTGCATCTTACGCGGTTCCAAACCCTCTTCTTGCTTGATTTGATTCCTTTCTAACCCACTGACACCAAATAATTCAAATTAACTTTCTTTGTAGAACCCCTTCTCTGTCAGAACAAGGTGGCATAGTGATACTTAAAATGGCAGCTGGAGCTTAACACAGCCTAATGTGGATGGATATGCTTCATTAATACATAAATCAACTTAGATCTTACCATGAATGATGAGGTGTTGTCTAAGTTACATGCAGTCGTAGACTAAGGATTTGGGTAATTTTAAGATTTATCGTTCACAGAAAAGTATTAAAACAGACCTCTAAGTTTCTATGTCTTATAGATAGCAAAACTAGAGACATTTATAACAATGAGTCATATATTTTAATGTAAAATATTCGCATCCGACCCCTTCTAAAATACTGTAAGTTTATTCTTAATGGTGTGCGTGTAAAGAATAAATTAAGGTTGGGATCAGTACAGAGACGATTAACGCTACGGATTCTTGGAAGTGATTGTACCTTGACTTATAATTTCGGATGTAATAAACTTGAGGTCGACGCAAGCATATCCATTTACTCTAGTATTTCATGAACGCATTGAATACACTATTTTCTTAAATGCAATGATGAAATATTCGTGTTCAGGTAACTGTTTGCTGAGTCTTACTTGCTCATTATGTCACTTAATAGATGTCTGTACAACAAGCCTAACATAGAATGAAGAGGACTGACCATTCTTATTTACATTAGTCCCATTTCAGTCACATTGACAATCTGTGAAGAAGCACGTTGAAGACGTAACCATCCAGGAAGAAGGATCGGTTCTACATAAAGTGGACAAAAGATCCATATTGCCTAAAAGGCTTAATACAACTGTCACCGAACCAATGATTCATGATACGAAGTCTCCAGTGAAGGTTAACAGAAAGCCCATTTTTATAAGTAGACAAGACTGGTACCTTATGATCAGATAGAAGGCAAGGCCACAGTCGAGAACTTACTATAAGCCACAAAAGAATATCAAAATGGTGCCGAAATACACTGAATTTTATGCCACTTGCTGTCACCATCGTGCTTCACAATATAGGAATAGGCCATCACAAAATTAAGAGGGTGTATAAATCGCTGAAAGCCTCTGAGATAACAAAGCTTCATTTGTTGGAAAACTGTACTATTCAACAACATGAGAATTCACTGATCAATGTGGCAGTAGGACGACTGGCCAAAGCAGACTGGAAGTGCTGATAGACGCCGTTAGTTAACACACCACATACCGTTAATTTTGCAACCTTAACACTTTCTTCATGTTAATATTATGTTCATTCACAAATAATTTATGCTTACATGAGATTTTTGATTAAACCGTTCCGAGTTTCATCACAAATGAAAATAATCACAATATTCAACAACTTTTAGATAATATCCACTATATTTAAACACGTTCTGTCATATTTAAACATATACTACGATGAAATTGAAGGAAGATAAAAACAGAAACAGCGAAGGGTGTGCATATAATTTGATAGAAGTGTTTGTGATGAAGAATAATATTAAACGGTATTATGTATGTTACATATATTGGGTTTTAAATGTCATTGTTGTGGTAAGATTTATTGGTGGAATAAGAAATTAAGCAGTATGGATTTAGGAATGTGCGATGGGAGTCTAAATCAAAAGCTAAGAAGGATCGCCAAATGTCAGTTTGTGTGGGTTTCATATAAGTGCTGGGAATAAATTTATAAACAAACTGGCTTACTTTGTGGTTTTATTTCAGAATGCACCAGATTTGGCACGGAAGTTTCGGATCTGCGACTGTTTGATTCAGTGACATTTGTATCATGTCGTTCAGATAAGACAGATTTTGCTTCCACGTTATGTAAAACTGATCTTTCATCCTGTATGATTTCGTCTTTTTGTGCTTCTTTACAGATTTATAATAGAACTGAAATGGGACTAATGCAAATTAAGATACTCAGTACTCCCCTTCTTCTTATGTTAAGCTTGTTGTATATATATTATTTCGTCTTTGATGATTCCAACTTTTTTCCAGTCGGAATATTTATTAGGCTTAGAATATTAATGATATATATGTTCCCAGATAACAGTAAGTTATATGTTCTCATGTGTGTGTTTACCGCGCTAGCATGCTTTTTACTGTCGTCGCCAGAATCCCCAGCCTACTTCCCGTGAATGTTTTTAGGCATACGACAGGTCTACAATCTTTTGTACTGGCCATAGCTTTCTCAAAAATACAGTATACAGAACCGATGATAATCAACGTTATACGGTCGTTCTTCCGCCTTGTGTGTTACTTTGATGTATATTTTGTGTAATCATTTTCTGCATTAATCACAGCCGACTCTTGGATAAGAATACAGAAACGATTATGTTGCCTACACTGAATGGTTTAAGATTCATCAACATCCACTGCAAAACAACAATAATTTACTTCTGATATAAGCAGGAGACGGAGAAACTAAAGGCTCAGTAAACTGCTACATGAATCACAGACACAACTTTAATGGAAACATGATTTGAGTGCATTAAGTAAACAAAAAAGAGGTAATGTACGACAAGAATGTGTAATCCACTTGCTCAAGTAAAGTAAAAGACATGTTAACCTCCTACAATCAAAGATTTTGAGTGGAGCTTTTATCTGCTTTTTAGTGTGTTATTGCACTTTCAAAATGTAAAAGCATTTCCGTCAACCACTTGCACTTCCTAAGCACAGAGAATGTTAGTGGTGGCCTCCTGGTCATTTTCATTTAAATAAGAACTTGCCAGCATAATAACAACAATAAACATTGCCTCTAACAGGACAATAATGTATGTACTTAATTGTTGTTGATGAAGTTGTCATAATTCATGTAGCTCAAGTTACTTAAAACTGACTAAAAGATCCGAGGTATCATGTCTGCGATCTCCGTATACCATGATGAAATGATTGAAGATGCCACAGGTATTCGGGGTTTGACAGCGATTTAACCAGTAACACCATCTAGTATGAAACGTACCCACCAAGTGAAATCAAAAAACAGAAGTGAAGAGGTTCGAAGATATATTTGACAGGCTAACAATATATTGAGGTTCGTCTGATCTAATCTGGCTAGCGACTGCAGATGTTGAGTACGGCGTTTCCACTCGTGATATGGTGCGGATGCATGACCGAGCACCTTCAGCTAGGTGATTCCATTAAAACCAATGTGGTCAGCATCCAATGTCGGAAATTTACAGAGCTATTTGTTTTGGGGATTTATTTATCGCTACTAACGTCATGAAGAAACCATTCCAAGTTTCATCACAAATACGAAAGATCACAATTTTCGCTAACCTTTGGGTAATATTCACCACATTTAAAAGATCCTGTCATGTCTAAAAGTGCACGTAAGTGACACTGAAGAAAAAAGTAAAACAGAAATAAAGAAGAGTATACAAATATTTTCATAGAAGTCCTTGTGATTTAGAATTGTATTTAACGGTATTGTATGCATCACATATATAGGATTTAAAATATGTTATTGATGTAGTAAGATTTAATGAGAAATAAGAGACAAACATTGGTAGTTTATGAACATGCGATGAAAGTCTAAATCGAAAGCTCAGAACGACCGCTAAATATCAATTTCTAGGGGTCTTATGCATGTGGTGGGAATAAAGTCATAAGTCAATCCTCTTTCTTTGTGGTTTCATTTCAGAATGGACGAGATCTGGTACGGACCTTTTGGATCCATTTCTCTTCGACTCGGTGAAAGTTGTATCATGTCGTTCAGATAAAATAGATTTTGTGTTCATTCGATATAAAACTGATCCTTCCTCCTCCATGGTCTCGTCTTTAATGATTTCAATTATCTTGTAGTTGAAATATTTATTGAGTTTGCAATAATGATATATATATATATTCCCAGATAACAATATGTTGTATGTCCTCGTGTGCGTGTTCACCTCACTAGCATAATTTTCATTATCGTCGCCAGAATCCCCAGTGTTCCTTTAGTGAACGCTTTTAGCTAAACGACAATCTTTTGTATGGCTATATCCTTCTCAGTGTACAGTAGACAGAACCAGTGATAATCAGCGCCTACACTTAGCGGTATAATGTCCATCGAAATCCATTGCAAAGCACTACTACAATGTTGTTAAAATGCGTTTCGTAAATTCAGATGACATTACTCAGAAAACATTCACTGATGTACGTGAAGATGACTACAAACAAATCAATGCCAAAATTAAGGAAATTCGTCAAAAGAATTTCGCCAGACAATACATGTACACAAAATGAACTCCATTAGTTTAAATGTAACAGAATACTGTGATGACCAACTTGGTTGTCATTAATTTATTATTCCTTTTGTGAGACTATCACTTTGATGTTTCTAGATTTTTGTTTATTTGTATGTCCCTTTTTGGTCTTCGTCTCATTCACAGCAAAACTAGTAGATTATTTCTTAATTTTTAACAGTAAACTTATTTCTTAAACAATTAAACGACATCGAAGTTTTTTGGTGAGATAACTGTTGCTAAATCACAAGGTTCTACAAATTATCAATTATGACAAACTATTAAATACTTTAAATCCTGGTTTAAATATAGCTGATATTTGTATGCGAGATGTACTCACAATTAACGCGCAGCCTGTGTTCCCTTCCTATGCCTTCAACCATCTAGCATCAAATAGAAAATACTCCAACGTGGTGTAGTTTGGACTGATTCAAATACAATTTGATCGATTGGCTTTCAACATTGGATACATTACATGGCTGTACTTGAACATGTCTTTTAAGTTTAATTGGTCTCGCTTAGAATAATAAATAGACAAATATTTGGAATGATACGTCATGATATTGAACC